TTGCTATACTCAGTGACTCTCAATACTTCCTTTGATGTGAATTGTAACGGCGTAGTACAACCCTTTCTTTTGAATAGCACTGGATTAATACATATTCCCTAGCTGTGCGAACTTAGAATAAACCACCATATTTATTTAGGGGCTAAGAAAAAACTAAAGGCGGAAAATTTTGTAATTCCGAAAATCTCTCTGACAACTACAAACAAAATAGTAATAAAAAGCCCAAAGATAAATAATAATCAGAACGGATACTCGGACCGAACGAAATTATTACACGCGTATTTAGCGTTAGAAGTAACCATTGTAATCGTTATCGCATCCATAATCGCAGTAAGTTGCATACTCTGCGCATATAGAGTGTGCAATGACAAAGACCGCAGGTTCAAAAATATACCAATGCAAGAACTGAATCAGCCCTTAACTACTCAAAAAAGAATGATTTGCAAATCTGCACCGACATTACTTGACGGAAAATATTTTAGGCTACCAATCAACTACGACACTCCTCACTCCCCATCCATGGCCGTGCAAGCAGTCCCACACCAAAAATCCGAAACAACAGATACTCCTCCACCTCTCCCCACTTTCTAAAAAAAAAACAAAAAAAAAGGTAATAAAGCACTAAAATACCCCGTCATGTTAGATACACCATAAACCAGCACAATGAAATGCACGGCAACTACCACACTCGGCCCGCCGCACAAAAAGGCCAATAGATCCTGGACGACGGAACAGGTAAAAAATTAAACAACCGGACGTCGGCAGAAACTATGGAACGACTAATTACAAGATGGGAGAACCAGGAAGCCCAGATGAGCATGCAACATCCTAAACTGCCACTATTGGACGATGATGGAGGCTGGAACCAGCACCAACTGACGCAGTATATTTTCCAGGAGGCCCATCACGGACACCTGCACCTAAGATTCCTCTTCGAGGAAACCTATGAAGGAGAGGGGTTCGGACGAGCCCCTTTCAATCCATGCCGTGTGTGCGGACAAGACACCGTACATTGGCAGGGGTGTTTCTTCTGCCGGGCACGCGTCGCAGCCGCTTCAAAAGACCAACAACTGGCCACGGAGGCCGAATGTGTCCGCCCGGAGAGCATTGTATGCTCAGTAATGCTCCTTGTGCCGGCAAGGAGGTTTTATGTAGCTTCCAGAGGAATTTGCAGGTTCGTTTGCAGTTGCTGTAATCCTATCCCAAGTCCTTCCTATTCTTAGAATAATAAGATAAAAAAATATATATATAGTAATAATAAATATATATGATAATAATAATAAAGATAGTAATAACACAAAAAAAAACACAACATACAAAACAAAACAAAAAAAAAAATAATAATAATAATTACAGTAATGCTCGGAGAGCACTAGTCCCTTGCTTTATCAGCAAAGGACTCCGAGGGGTGGGCATGTTACGTCGATACAAAAGAAAAAGTACGTGACGAATTATGATAAGTAAATAACGGGTTATGGTAACAAACCGGGTATCGGTAATTTAATTTTCTCAATTGGCATGGTAAGCATTTTTGAATGAACTCTTGCACATCTTCCTTCAAATGTACCCAGTAGTATTTATTCTTGATACGTTTGTAAGTTCTATTGCAACCGTTATGACCACCTATCGCTGAACAGTGGGCCTCTTCGATTATTTGTTTACGATGCTCGATGGGGGCGAAAACTATAAGTCCCTGACATACTATAATCTTGACTTCAGAAGGGCCCAGTGTATTTTTTATCATTCGTAAAATTTCAAAGAAATCGACGAGTTCAATTTTTTTACTTTGGGCTATACTGACGGTTTTAATTTTATTTTCAGTTAAATTTATTACTAATTGCTTCAGTGCCTGGTATATATAATTTCTAATGTTTTCGATAGTCTCTCTATTTTCATGACGGATTGGGATAATAAAATGCATCTTGTTTCCTATTTTGATTATAGTGGGAACGGCTAATTGTAATTTGTTCATTTGTGGTAGTTTATCATGTTTAAATAAACTGAGTGCACCTTCATCCAGGGGGGTACCAAAGGTGTCAGTGAAGTACAAGTAATTGTCTCGCCTCATAAATAGTGCGTCCCGACAATAGATAACGTTTTCATTGGGTAAAGTCACGGGTTCGGTAGGGGAGTTGACTGAATCTTCAAGCATCACGTCTTTTAAAGAGGTCATATCCTGTTTTGGTTGTGAGTCCTGTTTATTTTTAGAGTCTTCATTATGCGTATTATATTGTGTGCCAATTTTATTGCCTTCGGAGCAGTACGTGTTTTCAGTAACTGTAGGATAATTGATATTCGTGTCAGTTTCCGTTACTGGCATGTCTACTTCCTGTCTACTTATGTGTGTCTACTTACTAGGAGGCGGATTCTTTTTCTGACGCGGCAGGAGGGACTTGATGGCTTCCAAGTATTTTGTACTTGGTTGTCGGCCCCTCGCGCGTCGCGTGGTCATGACGTGCGTATTTGTGCCTTTTTGTGTCGTCATCTAGTTGAGCTGTCAAGACGCCTAGATGCTTGTAACTGCTTATTGAGCTGTTCGACTTCCTGTATAGGATTTCGAGAGAGTGCATCTACATTGACATTCGACGCGCCTTTTTTATATCCGACTTCGAAATTAAAATTTTGTAACAATAGTCGCTGATGAGTTGCTTATGAATTTGGGTCGCTTATCGAATATAAATGTACCAAAGGTCTATGGTCAGTAATGATGATGAATTTTCGGCCGTACAGATAAGGTCTGAATTGTGAAATACTCCATACTATTGCTAATAGTTCGAGTCGGATAGCGGGGTAATTACTTTTAGCAGGTGTGAGGGTACGTGAGATGTATGCTGCAGCGTGTTCTCGCTCTTGGTCGTCAAATTGAGAAAGCGACCCTGCGATTCCGATTTTGGATACGTCAGTGGTAAGAAAAAATGTTCTGTCGAAATCCGGGTGCCTGAGCACCGGAGATTCACATAATTTATCGCGTAGTGTCTCGAAAGCTTTTTGCTGCTCTTCCGCCTAAACGAACGGTTGGCGTTTCTTTAATAGAATAGTAAGTGGTTTAGCGATTTTAGTAAAATTTTCTATGAATCGTCTATAGTATCCTGCCAGGCCAAGCCATTATTTAACATTTTTTGGCGTGCGTGGGACCGGGAATTCTTTTACTGCGCGCAGTTTGTCGTTGCACGGGCGTAGTCTATCTTTCGAGATTATATGTCCGGGATATTCGATTTCCGGGCGTAGAATTTTGCATTTCTTCGGATGAAGAACCAGATTAGTTTCACGAAGGCGTTTCATTAACTCGATGATGCTCTCGCAGTGTTCGTCGAATGTTTTAGAATATACGCAAATATCATCGAGAAATGCTACTACATTTTTTAAGTCTGATACTAGTACATTTATTAGTGACAGAAAAACTGGTGCTCTAGTTTTAAGTCCAAAGGGGGAGCGACAAAACTGATATAGGCCTGACTCACATTGAAATGCCGTTTTATGCCTGTGTTCCTTTTTAATGCTTATCTGATGATATGATGAATACATATCGAATGATGAGAATAGTTGCGCACCGACCATTCGTTCAAATAAGTCGACAGGTAGAGGGACTGGGAAATTATAATCTGGAATAATTTTATTTAATGCGCGATAGTTAAATACGATGCGCGGCGGTTGCGGTTCGCCATCTTCCGTATTCTTCTTGGGCACGCAATAGACTGTTGCGCAATATGCGCTAGTTGATTTTTCGATAATATCTCTTTCTAGCAATTCCTGCATTTGTTCATTTATAAATTTACTGATCTGCGGGGGGTGCCTAAACTGTCGGAGTCTGACTGGCACTTCGGAGGTAGTATAGATCTCGTGCTCGATAATACTCGTGGTCTCGAGCTTGTTGCCCTTAATCTTTCGCTGTAATTTTCGACGATTTCTTTAATTTTTGTTCGTTGATCTTGTTTGATATGGTCCAATTTAATCAACTGAAGTAACTGTTTAACTCTTTCGTGACGATTATTAGTTCCTGGGTTAACAATTAGTGCTGCGCAATGCGCTCTAGGTACTTTTCCTCTAATAATCGAGCGGGCTGTTAATAATGCATTTAATGTATTACTAACTATATTTGGCTTTTTATAAGTTACTTATAAGTTACTTATAAGTTACTTTGTGATTTAATAATTGGATCGAGGTACCTATTTAGTATTTCGAGCAAGTATACGCGATTGCTATTAATTTCAGATTCTTTATTATTTAAACAACTAATAATACTGTTAGTTAATTCTTGTATTGACGGATAATCTGATTCTGATTTTTCTGATTTTTTAATCATTTCTGATGCTTTGTTTAAAGCGTAGAGTAAATCGGATTCGTTTTCCAGATTTTGCGTGCGCATGCCAGAAGTTACAGATACAGAGTTAATTTTTTTTGAGTTCTCGGAAAGGTAGTTAACAGACAGGTTGTATAGATTGTCGGAATCTGATTTTTTTGGTGTTTCTCAGATTTTGTTTTCAGACAGCTGAGATATATACTCTTTAGGAGTCAGTATTTAATTTTGTTTTATCACATCGTGACCATTTTTTTTACATGGGTTTTGTATACTGGTGCGTTCGTCCTCCGAGTTTCGACCGCTAGGTCCAGCAGTTTCCCACTAAGGTTGTCGACCGAATACGAGGAGTTATCGCCAGGCTGTGCCTGCCCTTCGTTTGCGAGAGGTATCTTGCTGGGTGCCTGGTTAATTTTTTTTGCTACGGGAATAGCTCCAATGTAACAGGATTTACTTTCGGTGAGAATTGGGAAAAACAATTCATTAATTTTTAAGAGATTCCTGGCGTAATTAATATGCGCTCTGTATTTTTTAATGACTCGCTTCCTATTACACCGTCTTCTAATATAGGAAAATTTTCCGGTACTAGGTGAAAATCTAGTACAAAGTTATGAAAAGTTAATGAAACTTTTCCTAATGGGGACGTACATGTGGTGGGGGGAGAGAACAAGGTCAGCTAAGATGGCGACGGGAATCCGCATCTATACACGTGAATCATAGGGCCAAGTGCAGTTTTTAAGGAAAATGTTACTAACTATAAATGAAATTTGCATTTGGGCTGGTGAAAATCCTAGTCAAAGACGTTTTGTGGAGGGAGAACGAATTCTTGCTGTAGGTCATTTACTAAATTGTGGAAGAACGGACGTTAAAGTTGGAGTCGTCAAGGTGAAGGCTTTTTGTTTGCAAACTACGGCTATCAAAGAAAAGCCACACGAAATTGATATTGATATCAGTGAATCTGGCTGTATATTAAATTGTACTTGCACTTGCAAAGCTAGCCTCAGTGGCAAATGCAAACATGTGGTTGCTGCATTATTGCACTGCTACCGGTAAATACCTAACCTCCATTTTTGTATCACATGTTGAATGCTTGTATATAACTTTTATTTTTGTTTAAGGTAATTCTATTTTTTTAGTGATAGTGAACACATACAGACGTTCTCATGCACTGACCTGACATGTTCTTGGAAAAAACCGCAAAAAGAAATTCTGGAAAAATATGGTCCAACACCATTAGAAAACCATGCATGTTTTCAAAATCCTGACACTTATCACCTTAACAACATTAATTTACAGCTCAGCCCAAATGATATAAAAAATATTGTTATAAAAAATCTACCAAAGTCAGCATTCTCAAAAGATATGTAAGTATAAATAAACTTCTTTTTCTAAATAATAATTTGAAACTTAAATCTCATTGCATATTTAATTGCTTCAATTATGTGTAGGTTGGGAAGGCACGAGTCAATTGTTGCAGTTGAAAAAAGTGTTTCGGAGGCTGAGAAGATAGCAATAAAGTTAATATTTTTACATCAAGAGAACCAACTTTTAGAATCATTAAACAAACTTGCAGGAAATCCTCTTAATAACTGCTGCATCAAAACTTTAGACATGCTAAATGGGAATTTTGAAAAAATTTTTGGATTAACTAACGGTTTTGGGTTCGATACTTCGTTAGACATGATTTTTTAAACAATTATACAATAATAAACACTGTTTACCCATTACACGCAACGACAGACTGCGGACCCGTTTACTTTCATTTTTAGTCACCAGAGGCGCTCACGATCAGATGTACGTCCCCAAATGTCGAGATACTTTCTTGCGAGATCCCTCGTAGTTCGTATCTGTCTAAGATATTTATGTGGACACCGCCTGGTTTGCTTGAAATTTTAAGTAGTGAGACTGCTGCCCCGGTGTCTACGATGAAGCTAAATTTTTGTTTAGTTGTATTTATTTCAAGCTGAATTGTGGGTGACTGTCTGTTAAAATGTAAAAGGATGATTTTTTGTGCGTGCGACGTTTGAGGCGCTGTATTTTCAGGGGCTCCCGGGCAGCGCCGAGTGTCTGGGAACCCTTGTCTTTTTCCGCCCTTTATAATTTTTTATTTCTGAGTTTTCGTTTTTCGCAATCACTCTTCCAGTGTCCCGTTTCTTTACAGTAATTGCAAATCGAGGAATTAATTTGTTGCAATTTTTCTTGCCAATTTAAATTGACAGAGGCGCTTGTTTTTACTTTATTTTGGGCGGCCTAATGTGGCTGATGGTTGGAGCGGGGACTAGTGCTATTGTTAGCCGCCGCGCGAGGCTCCGCCCACGGCTGCTGTTTGGGCTACTGCCGTTGCTGTTGCGTAGTTAGCCGAGTCTGATTTTGATTCTGCGGTATTCGATACCAACAGTCTTTAGCTGTGTGTTTTGGCCTATTGCAAATTTGGCAGGTGTTAGTATCTTCCGCTTTCATTAATCGAACAGGCTCTATTTTAGGTTGGATTAGCGCTTTTACTGTTTCGGTTATTTCCTCAGGTTCCTGTACGTTGAATTCTCGTTCAATTTCTATTGCTTTAGTTGTAGCTAATTCTAAATTTTCGGCTTCCCCCATACGTGCTTTGATGACCTAATATAAACCGCGGATGAAGAATTTTACTTTGTCTTTTTCAAGTTGGCTTTTAAATCCAACATAGTTTCGATTTTCCCTTACTGCTGCTTCAAAAAGTTCGTCAGCTACTGTTTTCACTCTATTAAAAAATATGACTACATTCTCACCACGTTTTTGTTTTAAGGTTGCTAATTCGCCTGTTAATTGATTACAAGTTTTTGCTGATCCGAACAGTAGGTTTAAAAATTTAATCATTTGTTCTACATTATCAAACGTTTTTCCTTGCACGCTTTTAAGTGCCTCGCCGCTTAGTTTAATTTTAATTAACTTGGTGAGATCATTTTCATTGATTGTCGGGACTATGCTGCGTGCCTCTCGACAACCGTCGATAAATGAGTGTAAGGGTATGTTAAATCCATCGAATTTAGGTACGAAGTTAACAGCGTCTTTCAAGCTAAAATTTTTTATTGGCGATACTATGTTTTGTGTGGAATTCATTAGTCCTGTTCTGATAGTCCCCGGCGTATAATACGTAGTAAATGGGCTGCTTGCAAAATTAGTTTTGTTTGTAGAGGCAAAACGTCGCGTTGGAGTGAAATCAACTTTTTCCGATTTATTATGAGCCATTTCTGGTGATTTGGAAGCGGATGGTGTGTTAGTCATAGATACGTTTGTAGTGGGCGCGTTATACATGTCTGAATTTTCAATTGCTGTCTCGTAACCTGTTTAATTTTCGATGAGCTCAAGTAATGGAAATTCAGTTTTATCTAATTTTAATTTTTCAAAATTTATATCCGTAATAGCGTTAAGGAGGAATGCTGGATTTAAATTTTTACTAGTCATTTCAATGAGGGTATCGAATATTAGGTCATCTTTACATAGAAAGTCCAATGGGTTTGTATCAATGTAGTCTTGTAAATTATATTTTAATCTTTGTAATTCTTCGACTCGGGTAATTTGCTTTGTTTCGGTGGGTGGATGTCTTTGATGTAGATATGTGAGACATTCTGTAAGCGTAGGTTCCCTGTTCATCCCAAAGTTTGGTTCTATTTCGCTAATTTTTTTAATTAGTATTTTGAGTGTAATTAGTTTTCGTTCGTAAGGTGTTTCGACCATTGTAATTTTTTTTGCGATAAGATCTTAATTACCAAGAATAAGGGGCCCCTAATTGTTATGTCTATGCGAGGAGATGTTAGTGCTAGACGTAATAATGTATAAAATACTGTCGCATTGGTAAAAGTTGGATCTTAGTCAGGAGTTAAACAGAGGTTGGTTAAAGGGATAGCGCCTTTATTATATGGAGCGTGTTTAGGTAGATAACTTAGTTTCTTACCTTGTTAGGACTGGATGTCAGAAGAAGTTTTTACAAACAGTCTCAGGTGTTTGCGCTTGATTTAAGATTTATTGTTTAAAGACAATTATAAATCTTAACAGAGTATAATCCCGGTTCTAAGTAGCCGGATAGTTAGACTTAAAAAATAACTTTGCGAAACTACCAAACTACTGAATTGTCAACTGTGTACTCCGTACTGTGTTGTGCGAATTCCAATCCAGCCTTTTTATACCGTAGACTGATATGCCCCTTCCTGTGTTTTCGCCAATTTAATATGCGGTGAGTAATATTCGCGGAAATATTATGGAGACGTGCTTAGACTAATCTATCCTGCTAGATAGATTTACAAATCTTCCCGGGAGGGTTGATACGATAGGAAATTAAAATACCGATACCCGGTTTGTTACCATAACCCGTTATTTACTTATCATAATTACCGTATAATTACGCTCATGCGGCTTGCGTAACATATCGGATGTTCGCCATCGTCGAATATTTGTACAAGACAAGCTTCCACTGCAAAAAACGAACCATCGCAATGCAGGTAAAACGGTCTCTGAAAATCTGGCCGGGCTACACCGGTGCCTCCGTCAGCGCCTGCTTTAATCACTCGAACGCCTCCCACTGCTCTCGCTCCCATACCCATATATATCAATAAATTAGTAAAATATTTTTAAAATTACTTCGATCAATTATCAAAACCTTGGTTCTTCAACAAATACTTGTAGAACGCAGATAACATCCATCATACGCATGAGAACTAGCCATTATAGTCTAGCTTTCATACTCCATAAAAAAAATTTAGCAGATTCCTATCTATGTTCTTGTGAATTAGACATTGAAGATCTAAATTACATCTTTTGGTATTGGGAATTTTTTGCTGAACAACGAAAAATACTACTCTTTAGATTTAAAAAGCTAAAAAATGTTCCTTCTTACACTATCTCCCAATTCCTTGCAGACCGTCAGCCCCATATCATTGACCATTTATGCAAATTTCTTAAAAATTCAAAACTATTTCTCTAAATTCTCTATATACTAATTACTATACAATCTTATCCACTTCTCTTTACTCAACTCTTCTTATTTTCTTCTCTTAACAGATCGTACTTATTCACTTGCCTTTTCTCATCTCCGTTCTATACTCCTCTCAAATAAACCACCTATTTAAATCATGTGCGCACAAGCGCTCCAAGCCAGTTGATAGCCGCATCCATATAGGACATAGAATCACACTGATATGATTTTGCACCAGAGCCAACGAATACATAAATAGAATAGAATAAAAGGTGAATACGGCACTGGTCGAGCAGCCGACGCAACCTAATATTCAAAAATCTAGTGCCGGAATTTCTAGGGTCCCTGAGAGCAATTTTCTCCAGCGGCAACGTTGCTGAATATAGACAGGTAGTGTGATAGTGATTATAGTGGAATATGTGTATGGCGATGTATGATATGATGTATATATTCATAACCTCCATCATTAATCAGAATCAACACTTTAACTAAAAGTAATGTCATGGAAAAGATTATTTATTTAAATAAATTAATGGATAGAAGATAGTCAAGAAAAAAATGATTATCAAAATGCAATAATGCTGATGTGTAAACATCTTTTTAAGAAAATTGGTTGCATGTATATTCAAATATAAAAATTTGATAAGTTTGCAAATGGTATTAAATTAATCATTATCAAATAATGAGCGAGTTTAAACTTCATCATCTAGTTGTAGAACTACTTGAACTATTGGGGTAAGAACTAATTTATATTTTTTGTTGAAGTGTATTAATACAAATTTACTTATTTTCATTTTAGTTCTACAGCAGCTCCAGAGAAACATGTAGAACGGTTACAGAAAGATGGAGCAATAAATAATCCTATAGCACTGAATACAGTAGCTACACACAGCTGTATACGACAACTTACAAAAAATTCACCAAATCAAGAATTGTTCCTGAAGAAGTATGAAGAGTTAAAATCAAAAAAGTAATTTCTTATTCAAAAATATTTCGTTTTATAAAAAAACCATTATAAGATAACTTAGTATCTCAATACTTTCAGAGTGGACTTATTAGGCCCTTTTGTAGGTTTATTGGAATTCATATCTGTTGATAGAGAACTCAAGGAATATTTAGCAAAAAATTCATTTTCATTAGTAGAAAGTTCTCCCAAAACTTCAACCATCACCAACGAAGACGTACCTAAGGTTCATATAATCAATTTTCAATAAACATTCTATGCAAGTTTGTTTAAAGTGTAACATTTAATTTTCTAGATTTTCAAAAATGTTATTAAAGCAGTTGTCGAAGGAGAAAAAAAATTAAATAAACAAGCTTATCCTTTGAGCAAACAAAATGAAATTATGCTGATGAGACACTCCTGGTCTACAGAAAGGCCACGACTCTCATGGGATTTTCAACCTGACACTACACTGTCAATAACACAAAGTAAATATTTTATTTTTTAAATAAAGTTAAAGTCAAAACAAGTTTGATTATAAACTGTATTTTATACAATTTCAGGAGTTGTTCCATCTGTATCCCAAGAATCTATTCTTCTTTGGGATATATTACAATGTTTAAAAGGAATAGATGGATCTTACATAATTTCTGAACCTTTGCAAAATCCATATAATCCAATAACATTTAAAATATCCCATGATGTTGGTAGGTAGTAGTTTATATTGCTAATAATATCAATCTTTTTCTTTTAATTTTATTAAAGGAATTATTTTCATATAATCTATAAAATACTTTCTCAGGTATATCCTTCAAACAACTTACTCAGCAAATACTTCCACTAGCTTCATACTATTCCATGACTATTAGATTCGTTGAAGAAAAAGTTCTTCCCGATGATGGACAAGTTAATCATGCTTTGAGAGGAGCTTTAAGTTGTTTACTTAGAGATTATTTGGTTAGTCTGAATAATAAATATTTTTTTCTAATATACATTAGTATTAATACATGAAACTTTCCAGTTATTTATTGTACAATTAGAAATTGAACATATACGTGGGAAATTAAACCTTCAAAAATTGTGGTTCTATATTCAGCCTACTATGTCAACAATGTCGGTATTAAACAAAATCACATCAACAATTTTCAAGGCAATTATAATTCCAACATATTCTCTTTTAATTTTACACTAAGCTAATTAAGCCCAAGTGTATTGATAACTTTAATATATCTTTAGGCAAATGCTAAAGGTGGAAAAGTTTTAAGTCTTCTACATGAACAAATTAATAATATGAGTGGAGAAGCCAAATGTAAGGAATTATGTTTGTTTTTGATTAAAGCAGCTAGTGTTCCATACATGCAAACGTTAGAAAAGTGGGTTTATAAAGGTGTAATTTGTGATCCATACCATGAGGTAAAGTTATGTCTATTATTCACTGCAAAATACGTCATTTAATGAATGTATTTATAGTTCTTTGTTGAAGATAACGAGCTGATTCAGAGAGAAGAATTACCAATGGACTATTCTGCAGATTATTGGGAAAAAAGATACACTATGAGGTCAGAACGAATTCCAATATTTCTCAGTGAACATGCTCAAACTATACTTAGGACTGGCAAATACTTTAATGTCATAAGACAGTGTGGTATGTCGGAAATTTTATATAAAAATTATAGATGTCTTACTGTTGCAATTTTCATCTTAAATATATACAACATTATAGGTAAAACTGTTCAGTGGGGAAAACAAGAACCATTAGTTTATCAACATAGAGACCAAAAATTTATAGCTGCAATTGACAGAGCATATTCCGAAGCAGCACGAACCTTACTTGAAGTTTTGATGAAAGAAAATGATCTTATGGGACGATTACGTAGTGTTAAAAATTATTTTTTACTAGCTCAGGGAGATTTTGTTGTAAGGAACGATACCTTAAAAATAGTTTCTTATATATAATTAGACGTGATAATTATTTCATATTTTTTTATTGATATTCAGGTGCAATTTATGAATTTATGTGAAGCTGAATTAAGTAAAAATATGTACGATATAGTTACACATCGGCTATCGTCTCTTTTGGAAGTGGCGTTAAGAATGTCAACTGCTGATTCAGATCCTTACAAAGATGATTTGAAGCCGGAATTGCTACCTTATGATCTTCAATATCAAATGTTTAGAATTTTATCAATCCAAACTACAGAAGAAAAAGGTAATAATAATTTGATAAACATACATTGCTCAATATTATACTATTAATTGATTGAATATATTTTATTTTAGAATATTGTTCTCAAACTGGCAAAGTTTTATCTGGTATAGAAGCGTTTGTCTTTAATTATGATGTTAAGTGGCCGGTATCTCTGGTTATAAATAGAAAAGCTATTGCTTGTTACCAAATGTTGTTTCGACATTTATTTTACTGCAAACACGTTGAAAGGTTGTTGTGCAGGTAAACATCGCAATAGAAATTTAAAAAATGTCATTTTGAAATTTTTCTTTGTAACTGTTAAATTGTTTATATAGAGTGTGGGTCAGCAATAAAATTGCGAAAACATTCACTCATGAAGTTGCAATGGCCTACCGACAAGCGTTCTCTTTGAGGCAACGTATGCTTGACTGTGTTCAACATCTTGAGTATTACATGATGGTGGAAGTCATAGAACCAAACTGGTTAACTTTTCTAAATAAAATGAGCAAGGTAAAAGCTGAAACATTATAAGCGTACATAATGATTTTTAAACAATGAAATTTGATTTAGGTCAGTAACGTTGATGATGTGCTAAGTGTTCATCAAGATTTGCAAGATAGCTACTTGAAAGAATGTATGCTGACAGATCCGGAACTTTTGGCCTGTATAACTGGTCTTTGTGCAGTGTGTATTGAGTTTTGCAAATTTATGCAGGTAAAAAATACAAAATAATAGCATTCCTTAAGATAGTTTGAAACACTAGTAAATAAATTCCACGGTACTACGACTCTGCTGTTTTAAAAATATTCATAAATATTTTACAATCAATTTAATTTCAATCGTGTTAAGCGTATGAGCCGCTACTTCATTGACGCAGAGTTGACTTCTATGATCAGTGCCTGTCAAGACGACGTCTTTGAACCAGAGGTATTTTGCAAGGGCTCGTCTTCATCAAAATTGTTTCCTCACAGATCTGCCTTGCAGTTAATCTTAGTATTAGAAAGATCAAATGCTTGCTTTTGTTTTAAACGTTATTTCATGTACATCTTACTACTTTAGGCTCGTCAAATTTAAATCTCCATACATTCGAATATTATTTATAATTTTGGCATGCCTTATACAAACATGGTTTGACTGACTTTCTATTTTATAATTAGATTTGGGTCATTTAAAAAAAAACTGTACTTTAGAGTCTCATTAGCGATATTATTGATTTCGTTTTTTTTGTTTTATTGTAAAATTTAGATATTTCATTGAATTGGTAGACAATTTATATAAATTTTGTTTGATTTATACGTTTGCCTAAATTCTAAGTAGCATTACTTTGATACTCTGTTGTGAATCTGGAAAAGTATGCGATGTTCTATAAATTTTTAGATAATCTATTCCATTAAAAATATCTATATCATATAGTAATGGAAAAAATTTGCCGCAACTTAATTACCAGAACTTGAAAAAATATTACAATAATTTTTTATATATCTTGATGTCGAAAGCCACTGCAAACTCTTTGTTTTCAATTCAAAAAGTTTAAGAACTACGTTCTCATTTATATTGTTTTTGTATTTATTTAAGTTTTCAATATAAAAAATACAACCACATAGAATGATTTTACATCGATTTATGAAAAAGTATTTGTAATATTTTTTCAAGTTCTAATTATTTTATAGTTTAGACAAATCAGCAAAGGCGACAAGTTCTTTTCATTTAAAAGATTCTATAAATATATACCGAGAAACTATAAATATTATATATTTTTTCGATACAGAAATTTTAGATAAAAGAATAAAAAGCCTAAATTACTGTCTTCTTGATTTTGCACAGCTGCCTACATTTTGCATTTTGATGTTTTGCAATTCATACATTACATTAAATATTATAAATATATATCATAACAATAATTTTGATAACAGTATCAAACATAATATTTCATGTCAAACAATGAAATTTTAATTTGAATTCCTGTTAATTTAATTTTAATTTATTCTAGTCTGAATGTAGTGGCAATTCAGTAGCCGATGGAACAAGTTTTGAAGAAAAAATTGATATTCTGGATAACCGATTTACCGAAGTACTAATACGTCTTTTGAATAGAATTTGTGAATTGGGTTGTGACAATAGTAATGAAAAATTATTGAACGTTGTATGTCGGTAAGTTAGTACCTATATTCTAGTTAGAATTATCGCTTGATTATACAACATGTGAAAAAATGTTATTATATACCTACACTATTATTGCTAGGTTGGACTTCAATCTTTTTTATACTCAAATTCTCATGCAAAAGGAAGCTGAAAAAAAATCTCAAGATGCATCAGGATAATTATAATAATATTACACAATTTCGAAATCACGTCGTATTAATAAATTAATAAACGAATACACTTGTGTGACATAATGAAACGAAGAATCTCAAGATGTATTTACAAAAGTATTACCATTAATTGTTAGCAGTTAGACAACTGCCGAAGGCGTTAAAAATTAATCATAGAGTAGGTATGTAATGATAAAATAAAACATTTAAAAAGTGTGTACAGAAAAAAGAATGGAAAAAAATGTAAAGAATGTGATTATTTTTATGTATGCTGAAATAATAAATACAATCATTTTATATTATTCCGTTGTTTTACTCACAGTTGACACTCGAAACGGCAATTTTCAGTAAATTTGTCAATCGTGTAATTAAATTTCATAAAAAATATTATATTTACATTCTGAATTACACTCTGGTTATACATAAAAGGGTGCTAACATGCGAGTTTGAAAGAGTCATTCACTGTTTTATGCGTTATCGAACGAAGTCACAAGTCGCATAAACGAGCTCTCAAAGAAGATTCTATAGTACAGCAGTACAGCGTTTGTTGCTTTGAAAAGAGCTTAAAAATAAGTATGACAGAGGCTACGAGCTTTAAGTGGGCGAGTAGAACGAAGGTTCCGTCGATCGGTCCTCCGTAGAAGCGGGCCGAGGCCGCAGAGCGGCGAGGGACAGAGCGACCTGCCTGATTGCGGCCTCCAGAGCGTCGAAGCGAGCTTCCATGGTGTCGAGGTGCTCCATGACCTTGTCCTCGGCGCCCTTCTGATCTCGGTCGGCGAGCACTTGCTTGGCCCGCTGTGCGAGGACGGGGTCCATGGTGAGGCTGGAGCAGCGGTTGCCGGTGCGCGCTCGGCCGTGCAGCGTGATCTCGTAGCTCTTGAGCGGTTTTACGCTGATGCGCGCGTGCGGCAGGTAGCGTGGGAACAGCAGGATGCGGCGCGCGACGAAGCGCACGGGGGCCCGCGCGAGGCCGCCTAGTCTGGAGGCGCTGGGCGCGGGCTCGAGGCAGCAGCCCAGGCCGATCGAGCTGGGCGACAGCGGCCCGCCCACGACCATGCGCTCGGCGTAGGCGACGAGGCGCGCCCGCGACACCAGCGTCACCAGCTCCGCCTCCGACAGGATCTCTGCGGTGTCGTTGACCGCCAGCCCGTTCAGCAGGTTCAGCAGGATGATCACTATGAGGAAGATGAAGCCGATGAAGACCAGCCGGCTGAGCACCGGGTAGAGGCCGAACTGCAGCTCGCCCGAGTCGAACTCGCCGGTGAGCATGACGATGGTCTTGAAGAGCGAGCCCAGCGGGTGCGGGAAGTTGTCGTCGCCCTTGAACAGCACGTAGAACGCCCAGGCGAACGCCAATATGAGGAAGACGTAGAGGAACAGGAACTTGGTGAAGTTGACGGTGACCGTCTTGAACATCTCGATGTCGGTGGCCATGCGTGGGTGCTGAGACATCAGGATCACCAGCTCCCACGTCGACAGCAGAATGGCCAGGGCGCCGATCTCCCGGCCGGCGCCGAGCAGCAGCGCCAGCGTCATCCCGACGAGGCCGAGCTCCAGCCAGTTCTCTGGGTTGAGCAGGTAGCCCACGGGTCCGGACAGCAGCTGCAGCGACTCCCGCACCACCAGGTACGTCAGCGACAGCGCCACCAGCGCCGAGAGCACCGGGTGGCTCTGCCAGCGGTCCTCCAAGCTCTCTGCGCTCGCCGTCGCGTCGCTCGCGTTGTCCGCGCCGGCTGCTGCAAGGACGAGGCCGAGCGTGAGTGCAGCGGCTCGGGCAGGTCGCGCCGGTCACTCACCTTGGGGTTCGGGCGCGTCGCTGGTGATGACATAAATGTAGGCCACGAGCAAGCAGTAGAACACGAAGTAGAGCAGGAAATTGACGTAGAGAACGTGCCTGATACGCAGGTACTTGAGGTAGAGGAAGGAGGCGAGCAGCGGGTGCTTGAGCAGGTGCCGCAGGCTCTTGCTTTCGGCGACGTAAAGCAGCGCCTCGGTCTCGCTGCAGAGCCCGGGCCTGGCGCGCGAGCTGCGCCGCCGGCGCTCGAAGCGATCCTCGACGGCGCCGCACTCGGTGTCGTGCGGCACGAGGTTGCGGTAGTCCATGACGATCTCGTACTCCTCGGTGCGCTCGTTCGTGCTGGACAGGCAGGCGTCGAGGTGCTCCTCCAGCACGCCCGCCGCGATGTGCGCCAGCGGCGGCGCACCGAAGCTATTCGCGTGGCCGATGTAGCAGCCGAGTCTCAGCAGGCGCCTCACCGCCTCCCAGCATTCGGCCCTGGCCGCGTAGTGCAGCGCGCCGTTGCCTTTGTCTGCAAGGCGCACGAGCGAGCGGTCACTCGGGCGAGCTGCCGATTGCGACCCCCGGCCTGCTTACCGTCCTCCTGGCGAACGTCCACCTCGGGCTGGTCGAGCACGAGATGGAGGCACTTGAGGCGGTCGCGCGCGCTGCCGCCGGGGCTGCCGAGCTCCTGGCTGGCGGGCAGCAGCAGCCGGCTGGCCATCCCCGGGCTCCTGGCCAGCAGCTTCTCCAGCAGCTCGGGATGGGCGCGCTCGACGGCCAGCTTGGCCAACGCCCACAGGCTCACGTTCTCGGCGCCCTCGCGGCTCAGCAGCGCGTCCGTCGCGGCGCTCAGGTTGCGCTCTACGCTCAGCCGCAGCAGCTCCGCGAGGCTCTCCGGGCCCTCGAACTCCTTCAGCTCCGCCAGCTTCTTCAGGAAGTTGCCCTCGTCGTTGGCCGTCAGATAGTAGCGCAGCAACGTGGCCGTGTCCGGCTTCTCCGACTCCGCTGGCAGTTGTATGTCGGGGAACTTCTGCTCGATCAACGACCGAGCCGTTTCTTTCCGTCGATCCCTGCAACCAATCCGTTACAGAACGACTGCCAAAGCTTGGTAGCTTGTCTTTGGCCTGCTACCTGCAGCCCGTCGCTGCAGATGCGCCATTGGATGGCTAAGTGCTTAACGTCCTAGGCTCCGAAGCTGATTAGATCAGCTTCAAAATAGTTACGTATATAGCAAACATCGAGCACAATTAAAAATTGTTATTATGCTAGTCGTCGTCAACGGACTCCGACAGCCTGTTTTTCGAGAGAATAATTTATCGCGGCTTCCCGCCAAACACCTAAACGTTGGAATCGCCTTGAACGGAAAATGACCTATCGGTTTCAATGGAAAATAGCAATTCGTTTCACACCGACGTACCAACTGATCGTTTGTCAAACCCTCTGTGTTATCATTGTGAACAGAAATGACAGAAACCCAATGTAATTAGACGGTATTTTGAAACAAATCGTAATCGTATACTAATAAAAGCGATAATACTTGTTCAACGGTTTGGCTTTCTTCATTTTTTTACGAGTGTCTGCACATAGTTGCCGGTATCCCAGTGTGAAAATACGGCTTATTTCGAGTATCAGTTATTACATATTTCATTCAAGTGTACAGCAGAAAGGAAGCCGTGATAAAATTTTTCCATTTGATTACTCTTAATAAATAAATGTCGAATGAGGAGGGAAGGGGAAGGCATAAGATCAATGACGATTATCTAAAAGTTAATATCTGTAACGATATTTTGATTCGATTAGGAAGAATACCAGCCCGTAACACGTTTAATTGATTGTTGCAGAGCTCGTACTGCCCATAGTTCGCGATAGTGACGATGCATGGGTGGCTACATTTGTATGGAGTATAGAGAAAAAACGACCTAGAAAATGACTATAGGTGCAAATTGATCGGTCCGTCGCAGCAATACAGCAAGTCAAACAGTATCGCTGGAAGAAAGGTTGATAAAAGTGAAGCGCGTGGTACCTGTAAGTGTCCAAGTCAAGTATTTTACTGTGGTCGAGAATGATCTGGACCATGTTGCGGCTGTTTCTTTCCGCGGCAGAGTGCAGGGCAGTAACGCCCTTGCTGTTCGGTATATTTGGACTCGCTCCGGCGTCGAGCAGCAGCCTCACGCACATCTCGCAATCAGCCTTGACGGCGTAGTGAAGCGCAGTCATTTGGCCGGCGAGGAGATTGGGGTTGATGGCCTGGTGCCTAGTGAGCGCGGCGAGGGCCTCCACGTTGCCCCTCTCGGCGGCAAAGTGTATCGGAGCCCGATCGTGCTCCGGATTCGCTCTGTTGGGCTCGGCCCCGACTTCCAGCAGAAACTCGACAAAGTCGGCGAGGTTCTCGCTGGCCGCCTTGTCGAGGAAGCTCATGGAGACCGGGTGGGCCATTACGTGGTCGAGGTCGATCGCCGGCGGCTCCTTTTTCAAGGCGCGGTGCACCAGGCTCTTGAAGGCCGCCAGCTGACGATTGTCCATCAGCTGCAGCAGGCCTCTGTACTCGCCGAAGCTCTGCTCCTGCAGCAGTGCCATTTCCACCGTTTCTTCGTCCGCGTCCATTGTCGGTTGCCTTTCCCGGCGAGTATCGTCACCGTTGCTGTCGATCCAAATCAAGGTTATATAACTTGTATGGGGCGAGATGGCATGCATCGAGCATACGCATTACCGCAGTTCAGGAAAGACTTTAGACATCGCACAGCACGGAGAGGGGAGGGTCGTGAACGAAAAAAACAGCGCAAAGTCGAGTCAGCAAGAGCAGCGATTTGCGCGCGAGCGCGCGCACGACTAGGACGCGGGAAATAAAGCTTTCCAACGAGCAGTTGGCTATCGATTTGAGTATACACAAACGTACCTATACTTCTTTTTGCTCCTCAAATCAGATTTACATTACTTATTCAGAACTATCGACTTGTGCTCGCCAGTCCGCTTTTTAATATTCTCTACGCGCGAGCCAAGCGACACTCGCTGTCTCTCGCACACCTACTGACAGAAATACATACGCGCTGGACATGGCATTTTGCAAAGCCACTTACTTAATGCCCGACTAGACCGAACTCCATTGACTCGATTGGGCGTTTCGCGACCGTTCAATCGTGGCCATTCAACGGGATGATGTCACTGGCATCAAAGGTTCGACGCCCAAACGACGCGAAAAAAGACGACGCGGCAGTTGTTTGAAATTAACCGAAACGAAGATATGTATAATGGTTGCCGAGGCGCAAGTGCGGATGGCACGGGGCCGTTATATTACGCATCTGTGCCGTGCAATGAAACAACGAGTCTAGCGCTGGATGTTAACGCGAAACTCGAACGATCCCAGCGGATGAAAGGTCACGCACGCGCGATAAGTATCTGCTTACCGAACTGAGCTGTGGAGTGTCCCTTGAGACGACTACGGCGCCCGACTGTACGCTACTGATGCTCGCACCGATGGCATTGATGATGTCACTGGCGCGGCTCGGGCAAAAAATGCCGATCTGTATAGGCGGCTGCTGCTCTTCCGTCTGACAAACTCGGCAATTGGGCCCCTCTCTCGGCGCGCGCTGGTCCGCTGACGGACTGCTTGCTTTGGTTTGTTGGTTAACGCGCGACGGTTTTTTGTTTTGAAAATGCCAACCGAGTCGAAGGAATAGTGCGAAGACAACGAGCACGAACCAAAGTCAGAGCCGCGCCTCCGTAACAAGGCTGCTGGCCCGAATGAGCGTTTCCTGTGCGCGCCACACGCGCTGTCGCTGCAACTATCTGCAGCACCTACAATCCAGCAGCGGCGAGGTCAGAACTCTCGCTCGTTCGGCCGTCGACTCTCCTCCGTTCAATGGATCTCAAATAGACCGGCGCGTTTTGTTAGTTTCTCTTTCGCATCCTCCACGCGAGCAACAACATTTATTTGGACGTGAGCGCCGGGAATAGCCGCGAACAGAACTGCTGTATGTCGATTAACAATCGCGCCACTCACCATTTACGTACAGCGCCCGCTTCTGCTTTTCTGCTGCGGGCAGTTTTCGATTAGCGCCTACTCAGCACCACATTGTATACTGCGTATAACTCAGAGAGCGCCAATGCCATCGGAAGCCCCGGGATCGACGACGCAGGCAATCTGGCAATTGGCAATGCGCGCACGAGAGAGAGAGAGAGAGAGAGAGAGAGAGAGAGAAGGAGAGAGAGAGATGAACAAGTGACACCGACGAAAGTCACGAGTGGACTAAAGCGCGCTCGAGTAGGCGACAGAGCACATGCAACGCATAGTGCGACCGCAACCAGTCACGCCGACACTCGATATATCCTCTCGCTGCAGTCCTCAGCAGAAAACTCATGTTGCTAGAGCGCACATCGCCTAAGTAGTGTGCTCGCACACTTGGTCGGCGGTCTCGGTAAGGAAACGGAGTCGCTGCTTTATTTCAACAATTTCTGTCGCAACGCGAGCGCACCGCGACAAAATGCTCCGAAGCGGATGCTGCCGGCCGTCGCTATAACACGTCTTCATACTTTCTATGCGTGCCTTACGCAATTCACCGAAATTTTAAGAGGCTCTCCTCTCTCCAAACCCCTTCTCCTTAGATGGCTGTCTGCTTTCATGCGCTATTATATCCGCCCATAATTATAACGGCAGTACATCAGCTCACGTTCTTTTTAAATCCGTTCAGTTTCAAATGTCTTATCGTTCATTTATCGATGCGCTACGTATGATTATGTTCCATCCCATCCCTATTTCTCTCTCTCGCTTAGTGGCATTTTGATTAATGTTATATGGCGTTGTAATCAATTATTGCGCTAGCAACAATACGCATCGAATGTGCCTTGATATTAAATTAATATTATTATACTTGTGAGCAATAATAATTCAAGTCAAAGTAAGCATAACGATTTGTCTTTGACATGGTAGAAGTTAAAATGTGCTACAAAACATTATTAAACAAGTAGCGCGTGAAAGAGTTGCGCAGAAGCCCATTTTCTTGGAGCTTTCTGTAAATGGTATTTGTACAATCTCGTACATAACAATGATCATTTACTTGAAGATACTGATTATAAATATTGTTATACGAACATCGGTCTACTATATCCACTAATTGTTATCGTTATTGTTGCTACTTCTAGAACTACGTTCACGTGGAACGCTGCAGAAGCATTAGTTGTATTATGATAAAATATTATAGTATTATTATGCACTTTTATGTCAAGAACAATTGTGTATCTATGTGAGTCACAAGAACCCTTGCATGCGCATACATAATTGAATTGTTTCTCAGTCTAAAAAGAAAGTTTGCTGCAATAATGTTCTCTCGTGAAAAGAGTTATTTAATAATATTACTGCTACTCTTATCATCGCTTTTGGCAAATTTCAACATTTTAATCGAGTAATTTTATTATTATTATTAATTTTATTATCGTTAATTTAAATAAAGAAAATGTTATACATTTTTAACATTATGTAGCTATAAACATTTATTTGGGAATAATAATTTTATTTGCTTGTTTTTGGCCATACATAAACACCGTATTGTCCTTACTAATCAATCGGTCCATGCTAGTTGGAGCCTTCTGAGTCAACTGTGTGAAAGTAAAAATAGTGCAAGCTAACTTATTATTCTGTTGACGTTTAAATAGTCATGTTATTCTCCTTAATTCTTTTCAGCAGATATGTTCAGCTTAGCTTGTAATCGAACATTGTAGCTAGAATCGAAATGGTAGCGATAATAGAATACGAATGAATTAGTCGGCGTTATTTTTATCTAAACAACAGACTCGCGATAAGAATAATTAATAATTTTAATGGATAATTTGTTTTATTTCACAAATCTCTCAGATAAACAAAAGTCTAATTTAAGTTTTATGGAAGATTTTATTTTACGCAAATTATATTTATATACGACAAAAAAATCCTCTTTGAACAATTTCAATTCTGAAATATTCCTATCAAGTCAAAATTCTTACCGTAAATAACAGGATTTTTTATTTTCAATCATTTTGAAACGAGATGGTTTTATTTCGAGCGTGACCCATTTTGTCCAAAAACAATATGTATAATTTGTTAACAAAGTAAAAGTCAGTCTGTTAATGCAATAGCAAATTTATGAAAATTAGGCAAACTGCTAACTATTTCGTAACTTATCTATCAGGCTACTTATATATCAAGAACTCACATTGATTCATTTGAATATAATTAATCAAGTTATATTTTGAACCTTCTCAAATATTCATAAATGAAAATCTCGAATACATTCGAACTACTCAGAGCAACATATCGATTGGAGTTACTCTTTTTACATTAATAATAACATCAATAATAAATACAGTATTAAATAGCTCGAAAATTAGAAAGGGTTTTCTAGCTTGAAATTCCATTCACATATATAGCTGTACAAAATACATTTTCTTTCACATGTAAGGATCATGATGGGATATAACGAGCTATTGTTCTTATTGTTCGACCACGGACATACTCCAATTTCAATTTTCTCATAATAAGTCTCTTCGTTTATGAGTCCTTGGACGAGTAAGCTTATATAATGCAACTGACAGGTAAAAACAGAATATGTGAATTTCTTAAAGTTGAATGTATTTCCGTTCAACAAGCTCGCTCTCCTTGCATTGAAAGGGTCAAAAAATACGAAATAAAATTTGATCTGAACGACCATGACGAGTATGTCTGTGCAAAAAGTATTACGTATACGCGCAGTCATCGTACCGTTTTTAGGCAAGGATACGCATGTTTCTTCACAGCGTCAATCGAAACAGTGGTAATAAATTGTGCATCCCACGCATCTCCGGAATAAATGAGTTCGCGTCACGTCCTTTATTATAACTATTTTAACTACATATTCATTTTAAATATATTTTTTTATTTATTACATGTAAGTACAATTTTATTCTTTGTATGTAAATGATAACTAAATATCGTATGATAAATCATTGGCATATTTAAATCAATAACTAGAGTAGCAAATGAGCGAAACTGAAAAATGGAAGCATTTTTTATTTATCGATGTAATAAATCGGATACGACAAGAAAAATCACATAAAATCAATGAGCTGCATTCATCAGCAGCATTCTTATAGAATCATCATCATTCACTCGCACTTGGCTTCTTCTATGTTTCTCTTTGAGAGTGTGAAATTTGATGACTGTATTCCGAAGTCTGAATATTATTTTGAAATAGTTTTTCTCTAACATAACTATAATTCAGATTTGCCTTTGAATTATAGACCATTACTTACGTCAAATAATAATAACTATGAATTTATAAATTATAAATAGATATCACATATTCCAACTGCGAAAATCTATTAAAAAAACTATCCGATTCTATTGGAACATTTTTAATAATTTATAACATCTATTTAATGCTTCATTATTAATTAACATTACTTGAAAATCGTATTGTACTGTAGCAAATGTTGAAAGGGGAATTAAGCTTTAGTACAATGAGTAGATGGAGAAAACATTTGTTTCCACTGATTACGTTTATTTTTTTTCTTTTATTCTTCTTTGCTTTTTAGGCATTTTTGTAATTTTGTTTATCGCTCATTTCCAGTTATCAATATTAATTAAAAAGCAATTAGAATCTACTGCTGTCTCATAGGAAAATCAGTAAATATGTGTAAAATAAATTTTGATGAAATTTTGAAAAAGTAATCTGTATGAAAACTGAAAACACTATTACCTGAGAGCAATCGTAATAGTACTTACACGTTATTGCAAACAAGATCGCACTTATGTATATTTTCACGAAGTAAAACTTGTTTAAAAAAATTCCGATATGTTCAACATTTTCGAAGGTATTAATTTGTTGTTTAACGTGCGTCAAACTTTTTTGTATAGATTACAAGTTTTTTTTAAGAATTTTAAGATTTTTCGTCGAAAATGTAACATCATTCGTACAACTTTTGAAGGAATTAAAAATTTTACGGGAACAATACGGCGTACAATTTTCGATGCGTATAAAACTTCCAATCAAATTTCCAGTCAAATTTCCAATGAAATTCGATAACTGTTTTATGAAAAGAAATAAATTGTATAATAATACCATTTTAATATCGTTAATTATGTGATTCTATATACACACAAGTATAATCTGCAAATCCCAAGTAGTAGTCTGTGTAGAAAAAGTCGGATATCTTGCTAGTCAATAATGACGGAGCGTAATCGTCGTGAATCTTATTTTGTAACTCCATTTACTTCTGGTATCTACTATTCTGGGGAAAAAGTAGCGGTAGCATTGTAAAGTTCAGTTTTGAAGGAAATCGACATCGAGGTAAGGTAGATGCATAAGTTCGCGACGAATGGCGAAGCTTCGCAAAGTTAAGTGAGGGCGCACCTGCGCCGCGATATAAGATCCTGCGGCTGTGCGCACGTGTACCGTTTAGTCCTCCCGCGCCAGCACCACAGTGGCGAACTATCGCATCGTACGCTCAGTCGACCGGTGACACTCGCACGCTCGTACCTTACTCCGCACTATTATCAGTCTTTGCGTTCTTCTTAACAAGTGCCTGTCTTCGTGTCTTTTCCATTTTCCTGATAAATTGTCCAAGATCACGAGAACGCATTTCGCAGCTTGCAGTGATTTCGTCTCTTGGTTCATTTGCCTACACCAGTGATCCGCAACGGTGAGTATACACATAGCATATTTTCACTTTGCCGTTTAATGTCGAAAGGAAATTTAAACATTGGATTTCATTTGTCAATACTTTTAAATACGTTCCGATACTGTACGGCGATCTTAATAATGTCACGGTTTGCACTATTGTTCGAGCGTTCTATATATAAATTGCACAGGCGATTTCTTTGGCGTACTTGAAAATATGAAAATTCGACTCCAAATTATGGAAACGGCGAGCTAGCAGATTGATCAATTTAAAAAAGAAGCGCCTTGGTAGACGATACGTTTTATGAAGATAGGTAAATATAAATTTTTAATTATGTTTAATGAGGCGTCATTATGGACGAGATTAGCGCTCTCGGCGATACGTCCTTCGAAATATATGTGCATGTCGCGATGTAAATAATTCTCAGCTGTGCGCCAATAACTACAGCTATTAGAAACATTGAATGTCACGGACTTCCAATTATCCGAATAAACTTAGCATTCTGCCGCATACTTTCTTGTAAAGCCTTTCTGTTTGGCTCACGGTAGGATACGTTATAGTGGTTTGGACGACAAGCCTCGTCGAGGAAATCAGCATTGTCAAGAATCTTTTGCATTTCTACGAGGTCTACCTAGAATTTTTTGTTCTTTATGTTGCGTAGATTATGTGCCAACTAAATAAAGCTGTTGTTCGCGTGCTAAAAAATTAAATCAATATAGCCTTTTATATTCCAGTCAGTCGGTATTAGATAGTATAAGCAAAGTATTGTGATGTCATCATTCTAATCTTACAATCATTTTATCTTAAACGTAGGCGGTCACATTGTCTTGCGATAAATGGGCGAAAAACCAAGTATTACCTTAGTTGAGCTGCACAGCTGTAAAAGTGATACTTCTACGCTCGAATTTATAAATATATCGCTAATTTATGATGGGAATATAGCAGATTAATTGGATATTATATAAAACATTTCTTGATAATAATTATTCGATAATGTTGAGATGCATTATTATTGTATTAATGATAATAAATAACTATGAATGACTATAATAGCGATATAAAAATTGAAGCCTCCCGAAAAATGACGAGTATTTTGTTTGTTAAAGAGTGTAGTTAATCTCAAAGAAATGTGCTTTCGAACCGACATGAAAAAAAGTGCAACAACATTAACAAGTATTACGACTTCCAATCAATTACCAAGTAGTATGACTATAAGTTTACAGTGGCAGTCGTTGACCTTGCAACAAAAATAAATATTTCAATAAGAATTTCAAGAAGAATTTGATGAGGCAATGGAGTCGATAATTCAAGGTGAAGCTCATTGTTGAACTAACGAATAATGTTGATCGCTGTATAAAAAATGTTTTTTTGCCGTTGGTGCGCACTCACTTGCCAACAAATCTGCACGTTATATTCAAATTTCCATCCGCGAAATTCCACAGTGAAATTCCTGCAATAAGTCTTTTGAAAAAACAAGTCCTGGGAGTCTGCATTCACAATAAGCGATTCTTCAGGCACATTTGGTTCGATGACAAACCAAATTGGCCGATCACGGGCTTTCATCTCCATTCTGGGGAGCTGTAATGAAATGCCGACTGTAAGAAAACCAGGCGAATTGCTATAATGTTCGTGCAGCTCAAGGCTCCGCGTCACTTTAGTGCGTTCTTTTTTTTATAGGTTCTGGCACAAGTGCAAATGTGCGAGAAAAAGGTGGTCTGTGGGAGGGCAGTGAATTGTGCCCATTATCATTATCGTTATTATTCGAACGGTTGTGATGCTGGCATCTAACAAATATACAATACATAGATCGTTTTTACACTTACAGCTAACTATGCGCTATATAGGTTCTATCGTTAGATATTGTTTTGTACCATGAAAATCGCTCGTGATCTAATCTTTCTCAGCTATGAATATTAAATCACGATTATTGCTACTATTAAAATGACGCTAGCCTCGACCTGTTTTATTATATATTCGTTTATATTTTGGATAGCGAATCATCCGCGATAATACATATATTTTCTTGCAGCCTCGCAAGACAATTGATGAACTATTTATTTGCACCAAAGATCGCGCACGCCAGGATTATCACCGGTAAAGATATTAATAATATTTGCTGAAAAAGATAAGAATTGCTCATTTCTATCAAGTTACAAGGAATGGAATTTAACGTAAGAAATCGAAAAAAAATCTTGCCTTTTTTGCCGTCGACGTAGTAACTGAACACGATTTACTGTTATGAAATTCAGATAAATCATTGAAAAATTATAGGTCTCATATCTATGTGAATAAGTACGCTAGAACTTGATAAAAAAACCTACGCGTGTTACTTTTAAAGATCGTCAGAGACTCTCCAACCTACTTCGACATTCAAAAGATTGATGATAGTTCTTTTCAACACTAAGGACTCGAACAGCTGAGAAAGTCGAGGACGTATAGTTTTTTATTCACTGAACGAAAAAAATGCTTTTGAAGTTTAAGAAAGAGATGAAAAACTAATCGGCGAGTGAAAAGAAAGCAATGCAAAATAATGAGAAAATCGCCTGAGTGAAAATGTTTAAGTGCTCGGCAATGCACTTTTTTATGACTTGAAGTAGTCAGGCGACTGTATGCGTCACTCTAATCAAGTAGTTACATAGTCGAAAGATAGTAAAGAAAGATTGATGTAATCGATGCTACATTAATAGTATTTATCTGAATACGGAGACAGTAGCCTAAAACTAGTAATATAGTTAGAAATAAAGTATCTGGGAGTTGGCAAGCAGGCAGGAAGGGTACGTGACTCGCAAGGCAAAGGTGCAGCCAGCCGAGAGGGAATATTCGGCGAGAGAGCGAGAAGGCTGATTGTGCAATCAACTGTGGCGCGCTGCTCGACACGTCCTCGCTCGGAACGAGCATAAAATCGACGAAACGAGAATAACGTTAGAGCGAAAAACAACGAAAAAGAGAAGCGAAACGATCGAGTCACGACGGATCGGCCGCCTTATAAGAGCAGCCGCGCACGCTCACGTTCGCCCACAATATTAATGCGACCGAGCATTCGCGGAGCCCGCCGAAACCTCGGGACCTTAACTCGCCCGATTATCGACAATTACGCGTGGCCGTTTTGTCAGAATACAACTGTCCTCCGCGAATAATTATAATCGCCGGCTGGCTCTCCTGCGCTCCTACGCATTTCTCTCCCTTACTCTCACGTGAATGCACACTCCATCGGCTGATTAACTCGTTTTCTTTTCGCGAATATTCAATCAAATTAATAAGCCTGCTTCGATCAATTTCACATCACGCGTTTATTATTCATTCGGTTTATCGTCAGTTTCAAAAGGCCGCCCGCGCGCGATCAGATCTAACGCTTCCGCATGGGCGTCACAAAGCCTCTATTATATTGTTACATTAGTAATTACTGTCCTACGTACGATCTGCGCTCAATTTCAACGATATGCTTCCACGGAATAAAGTTCATTAAAGTTACGCGTAAATCCCGTACTCCTGTCGTACGCGCAATCTCTAATCCTTTCGTCAGTCTCAGAAAGCTTTCTCGAGCGCTAATCACTTTGTTAGGCAGTACCCGACATATGTGGAAGTAAGCATTGCCTTAAAAAGTGAAAAAGTAACGTCGACAAGTCGCTGCGTATTGAAGCGTTGGCAGTTTGATGGTTGATCTACTATTAACGTTCGATCACGGACGACAAGAGCGGTGCCGTCGGTCTCTTCCATGTTTTTAGTAACAATATAAAATAATACCCAAATTGTCGAGTAGTTCCGTGCAGAATAATACACACATACGTACACGCACGCGCATGTGTGCGTGCATAGCCGAGACGGTAAGTCGCCCACGTTGCAGCGGCCAACGGCTCACCAGACGAGTCGCTCTTGACCCGTTTCCAGGGAATCTGTATATAACGCGAACGCGAAAGAAGAAAAAAACAATGGTCGTCCCTGGCCTTAGTGCCGCTACGGGCGATGAGTAACGCCTTGCTTGATATCTTTGCGCGCAGCTGCCTACGCAAATACGCACACTGGCTTCTGCATACTAGCAAAAAGGGCTCGAGTCTATTCACCCGAATACTGCCTTGTACAAAGTGTTGACGCTATTTTTCGATCACATTAATTATTTCCGAAACAATTTGAATAATCGATACCATAAAACACAACTCATAAATTATAAAAAATATGATATTCATATTATGACATTTCAGTGGAAACTGATTGGAAGAAAAAAAACATTTGCTTCAAGTTAAATATTGAAACACATTTTTTGTTGTACGATTCTTTGTAAGAAACGTCTGTAAATGATGTGGATATTATCGGAAAGTAGACTTGAACCCTTCTACCTTACCACTCAAAACGTAACTTGGGATGAATGACAGCTTGCAGGTACAAGTCAACATGGGCGGACTCACCCAGAGACCGTGGACACCAACCAAGAGACGAGGACCGATCGCCGCTGAGTTTGTAACCCCCGGTCCAGCCTGTGTCACTCTTCCATCTCTCATAGGTATCTATCGCGTCTTTCTACTCTCATCTTCGTAATTCTTCCCTCGCTCTCACATTTCCTCCTGCTTATTTTCAAGGTAAAACGACGACAGACTCGAAAAAAGGTAGAGCTCCAGCTTTTTCCTTCGGCAGCAGGTAATTGTTTCAATTGTAATTTATTCAAAACGGCACAGTTTCTCTCGACATCTAACAATTAATAAGAATTATACTCAGTGGTCGGCAACTCCGGAGTTAATTTCCCTAACAAATTACGAATAAAGTAGTAAAGTGACAACGTTGTTGTCCATCACTGATCACACTTATGTACATCATACGTTTAAGTGATCAAAAAATTCATAGCTTTGAAATTGCTTTTTTAGACACTCTGCTAAAAATGAAAGTCCAGGACCCGGACCTGGACAATACAACATTTCTGGCCTTAGTGCAAAAGGTAACTAGCAAATAAGCATTTTATAAGCTAATGTATCTGATTCGTCGATGGGCTCGCGTCTGAATAAATATCTATTCGTTCCTTTCGTGCGTCATTTGAAAAGATTAGCTATACGAAGTACATGAGGATTCCACATAGCCAGCTCGAGGGGGTAGAAATGCCGTGCATATTTCGTGTAAGAAGATGCGAGTTTATCGATCAAACTTCTCGTCAGTGCAGGAATGGAGCGTCAAGCCTCGAATGTTCACGAATTCCTTCGATCTTCATTGCGGCATCGAGTCCCGCAAGCATTATTTTTTCTTGTTCTTGACATCTTATGAAAGCAAATGCTGCAAATATCTGCGGCTACGTTTTCGATTTTATTTTGTACAATCTTCTGACATAACGTTATAACTAAATATTGCAATCGTCATAAATTGACAATCAAACCAATGTTACACTGTCAAATGGCATGAGTATAACCAACGTTCTTTATAATAAATATCGACTGATAGTAGATTATTTATTGAAATCAGGAAGAGATGTGGCACCCTCATTATCATTGCATGGGCGTACGAAATCCGGAAAAATCGAAACAACGCCAGCACCTGGTGACTATGATCCACAGAAGGCTGAGAAAGTCATTCTCGATAGTTCTCCTAAATTTTCATTTGGTATCAAGACGAAAGTAGAAAAAGTAGATCAAACGCCCGGTGAGTAACAAAAAAATGTTCCAAATTCATACGCATACTTTTCAAATTATTGATCGAATGATTTTTTTATTTCGCATAAAAATATACATGCCAATTCAAATTTGTGAAAACAGAATGAAACATTCACGATAATTATTTTAAACGAAATCTGAATTTGTTCGTATAGCTCCTGGAATTTACAAAACTGAAGTTGTAAAATTTGATCACGCTCCCGAGTTTTCTTTCGGGATAAAACATTTAGCAGATAAACCAGAAGAAATTCCTGGTAAATACGATTTCATCGTCATCTGCATTTTTCGCTCAAATTCAGTTGACAAATAATCAAGTTGCTTATAAAATTTTCAACCTAACAAATAATATTTCGAGTACATAAGACTAACTGATTATATTAAGACGATAATAATAGAATATTATAGAGAGAAGCGTTGGACTAATCGAATATAGCATCTTATTAATATTCGATCGACGCAACTAACAATTTATAAAAAGTTTCAGACCGAATTTATTAGGAGGGACAAACTACCTGTTGTATGAAATTTAAGTTACTAAACAATTAAGCACAATTTACGCAATATAGATTTGCACAAAATTTAACGAATGAGACCAATTATATTAACATTTACATAATTGAATGGCTTTTTGAGATATTAACACTGCTATTAAAAAATATCACTCCAATATGCACCACATTACTATGATCAATACAATATTTCGCAGTAGTTTCAATGAATAGCTTGGAGATGGTCGATATTGCTTTGAGTGTTCTGAGCATGTTGATATTATTAAGCTTGTAAATGATTTGAGTGCAAGTCTCGATGTTGTAGCACCGGGCACCTACTGCCCAGAAAAGGTTCACTTGGACAAATCTCCCGAGTACACATTTGGACAGCGCACTACCGTTGAGAAGCCTAAAGATACTCCAGGTATATAATTGATCTTAGTTAGCAAAAAGCATAATTCGCATGAAATATCTCGCTTGTTTTCTCGTAAAATTTAGCACCCGGCACATACTATCCTGAAAAAGTGAACTTGGACAAGGGTCCTCAGTTCACTATCAGTGGGAAACATCTGGCGAAGAAGTCCGACGATGTACCTGGTAAGATATAGGTTCGAGATTTGCATTCAGCAGATACTTACGCAACAAAACGTGTCAATCATTTGCAGCCCCAGGAACTTATTCACCAGAAAAAGTGACCCTCGACAAAAGCCCGCAATATAGCTTCGGGCATAGGACTTCTATAGGCAAGATGAACGACACTCCTGGTAATTATGCAAAGTTAACATATTCGTTTGAATGAAAAAAAATGATGAAACATGATAAAATTATTTATTTGCGCTATTAGCTCCAGGTACCTACCATCCTGAAAACGTAAATTTAGATAAAGGTCCAGAGTATAGCATCACTGGCAGGCATTATTATGATAAAACGGATAGTAGCCCAGGTAATATGCTAATTGCATTTTTCTATGATAATGGTGCTCCAGACTTTACTGATTATTATACTTTAGCTCCAGGAACTTACTCTCCTGAAAAATTTGTACTCGACAGTACTCCACAATATACATTTGGACGCAGAACTTCTATCGACAGGTTGAGCGATACTCCTGGTATGTATATATTCTTTCCATTGATCATAGGAATTTCATAAGTTGTGCGTTCAAGAATTTCCTATATCGATTAAATAATGATTTTTAGCCCCAGGAACGTATTGTCCAGAAAAAGTAAATTTTGATAGAGGTCCGCAATTCAGCATAAGTGGTAAACATTACGTCGAAAAACCAGATGATAAACCTGGTAAGACAGCTCATCTAATGCAGTTATCATCTCACTTGAATTTAATTGTATTTTACTCTGTTACGATAATCGTGAACGCAAAAAGCCTCTTAGCATTTATAACGTGATGTCAATTTGTCATTATACGTTTCTCAAATGATAATTTCCTCAAAAATGTTGTTATACCGTAATTTGATTTCGGCATCAACCAGCATTGTTAACAATGTACAGATCTACCGAGATCTTTACAAAATTGCAGCTATTTTATTTTATAATGTATATAACCTATTTTTGAAAATGCATATATTGATGATCTAGCTCCTGGTACTTACTCGCCGGAAAAATGTAATTTAGATAAAAGTCCAGAGTATACTTTTGGACGACGTACATCAATAGATAAACTCAACGATAGCCCTGGTAAAGCTGAAATAAATAATTATTTTATTCAAGCATAGTGATAAATATTGATAAGAGCATTTGCTCAAGAAATTAATTAAATATTTCAGCTCCAGGCACGTACTGTCCTGAAAATGTAAATCTAGATCGTGGCCCGGAATACAGCATTAGCGGTCGCCATCACATTGAAAAATTGAACGATACACCTGGTAACTTGATATCGATTGTTTGCTATAAAGAATCGCTGATTGGCATATTTTATTTAAATATCATGGATTTATTTAGCTCCAGGAACCTATGCTCCGGAAAAAGTTGTCCTCGATAAGAGTCCCGAGTACAGTTTTGGAATCAAGATCTCCACAGATAAGCCAAGTGACAGTCCCGGTAGAATGACATAACATTTTCGATAAATAACAACGCATGTTTATTCTGTTAGTAATAACTATGATCTTTCGTTCGTAGCTCCCGGCACTTATTGCCCCGAAAAAGTTAATTTAGATAAGGGGCCTGAATTTAGCATAGCTGGTAAAGGGCGCGAAGAGAAACCGAGCGATACACCAGGTAGAAAAGAATCTGTTACCTTAGAAATTTCAAGTACTGAGAGTACATTTGCTGATATAATTTTTTACTTTATAGCACCTGGCACATATTGCCCGGAAAAAGTTAATTTAGATAAAGGGCCTGAATTTAGCATAGCTGGGAAAGGCCGTGAAGAAAAACCAAATGATACACCAGGTAGAAAATAATCCGATAACTCTGTCTTTTAAAATAATGAGTCTTACACGCGTTAATATATACCGAAAGTACTTAAAGATTCTTAAACTAAACATCTTATTTAGCTCCTGGATCGTATTGCCCGGAAAAAGTTAATCTGCAAAAAGGACCGGAGTATAGTATAAGTGGAAAACTCATTCACGAGAAATCAAATGATAATCCAGGTAGGCGTCAGCGAAAAATTTTCAGCTTTAATTTGAATCTGTTGAAAATGAACAAAATTAATTTTAGCTCCTGGCACTTATTTTCCCGAGAAAGTAAATCTTGACAAAGGTCCGCAATACACAATAAGTGGAAAAGGTGCGGTTGAAAAATCAAATGATATTCCAGGTAATTCTATTCGATACAATTTATCATAGGAGTGTCACCAACAGGAGAACATTTTATACCGATGTTTAAATATCTTAATTTTAGATTGTAAATCAGACCTGATAATTAGGCTCCTGAAAAAGCTCGGTTTAATTCGGGCTTAAGCCCTTCAACTTTCCGAACTTTTTCAAATACCACGAGTCGGCTCCAACTTTCTAGCCCCGTTCAAACTAAGCTGCATGGTTCAACTGGTCTAGATAAATAAGAATTTTAGTTTCTTTTTGTGTATATAAGAGCTTGAACCAGCTTGGGAGCTAAGAAGCTCGGGCCGAGACGATCTTTGGTTCGATGTTTTCAAGCTTTTGCCGAAGTCTACCGGCATTATTTTTGTATCTCCATGCGTTAAAATAATCTATAATCATGCATAGGCAGAGTTAGTATTGTAGTACGCATAAAAATAAATTTTACCTGGTTAACTTTTATCATACTACGATAAAAAAAACTGTTCTATTTTAATACTTTTAGCGCCGGGAACATATTCTCCAGAAAAAGTTAATCTGCATAAAGGACCTGAGTATAGTTTAAGCGGTAGACTACATTACGAAAAGCCAAGTACTACTCCAGGTAAGTTTAATCTATTGATATTCTTTAGCCATGTACTTATACGAATGAATTTATAAATTTCCTTTTATGTAACAATGATATACATTTCAAATTTTCAAAGGGTTTACAATCTTGAAAGATATTATAAATGAAATATTTCAGTAGAATTTGTAGATATTCTTTAGATTTTTTCAAAAACTCGATTCGGTTGCAACTCGAAGAAGGTAAAAATTGGAGATGGTTTAAAATCGAAGCTTGAAGCTTCTATATAATTTGATCGAATTTTGGAGCTTCACAACTATCGATACCGACCACACTATAAACTTTTACGATTTGTATTGAACCTTCAAGCCGTACCAATTTATCGATTCTTTGAAATTGTCTGATCGATATGGATATTTATAGATTTGTAATTATTATAACTCATTACGTCATCTTGGACTGCTGAGTTAGGTTCAAGTCGACCATACAAAACTTATTTTCGAGTCGATTCAGCTGTTTGAGTTTTTGTAAAAGTCAAATTTCCTCTTTAATTTTAAGAATTATTGTTACATATACACACACACGCGCGCGCGCACGCACACATACGCACACATACATATATATACACATACATATACATACATACATACACTAGCAAAATTTTTTCACAGCATAGTGCATAAAAACCTTCAATTGAAATTCTTTGGACAAGTTTTGAAAAATACAATTTAAAATTGTGCACAAATAATGTTTCAGGGAATTTGAGTACATTATTATTTTAGAAAAACAAAATATGAATATTAAGTAGATGTTTAAAAATCGTGTCATATCACTTCATTGGTTCTTTTACAGCTCCAGGCACATACTGCCCAGAAAAAGTTAATTTTGGCAAAGGACCAGAGTTTTCCTTAAGCGGTAAACACATTCTAGAGAAACCGAATGATGTACCAGGTAATTTAAATTCACTTAAAACTGATACATACCGTTGAAAAAAAATAATAGAATTTTATTTAACGGTATAAAATTATCGCACCACAAAAAGCACCTGGAACATATTGTCCTGAAAAAGTAAACTTAAAAAAAGGACCGGAATTTAGTATAAGCGGAAAACAGACTTATGAAAAGCCAAACGATACGCCAGGTATTCATTTTAATTGATCTAATACGACTTTATCTTAAGTTGAATAATTTTCATATCCTCCAAACGATTCGCATAACGTCTTATATACTTACAAGCACCTGGCACATACTCTCCTGAAAAAGTAAACATCAATAAAGGACCAGAATTTAGTATAACTGGAAAACAAACATTTGAAAAAGTGAACGATACACCAGGTATTTATTTTGATTGGATATTCATTTCCTTCAAATAATCCTGATAACGTTTGAATTTTATTTTTTCCAAATAGCACCAGGAACCTACAACCCTGAAAAAGTAAATCTTGATAAAGGGCCACAATTTTCAATAAGTGGAAAACACTATGTAGAAAAACACAACGCTATACCAGGTAAGCCTTTACCATGGAATTACTTATATAGATATATACTGATACGTCAATTATACTGTTATTTATTTGAAATAATCGCTGCATTTGCATTAAGAAAATGGCAATGAACCACATACAGTAAATTTACAACTTCAAATACAATTGAAAAGTACAAAAATATTATAATACTTTTAAATCTAAATTGAATAATTCTTCTTCTCACTTATTCGTATAAATTATCACTTGACATATGTTATTTCAAAGAATTATTAATATGTTTAAATGATGTATTCAGCACCGGGTACCTACTGTCCTGAAAAAGTGAATTTAGATAGAGGTCCACAGTACAGTATATCTGGTAAAGCTTCTCCTGCAAAATTAAATGATAATCCAGGTAAGCAATTAATAATATGTTACGAGAATCTCTTTCCCGATCATTTATTACATAGTATTTTTCGATACGACGGGTAGAAAGATCGTTTTTGACGGCACATTTTTTGCCGAACGTGCGGAAATTACGTGCCGTGCACACGGAGTGGCTAAAATTAACATTTTATACATTCTGGCATACAAGAGTGCTCGTCGATAGTGTTTATTTAATAAGATTTTATTATTAATGATTTCAATTAGTAAAAAAGCAATCTTTTATTTTGATTTATTTTAAATAGTGAGTTGATTTATCAATCCTCATTTCAATAAGATTATAGTTTTAGATGTCACAAACAATTTAATAAATATTTGAGCGAGATCTTTGACAGCTTTTTCGAAGCTAATTAAAAAAATATATTCTTGTTGTTGAAAAATCATAATTTTCAATCAATTTCGAATTTGTACATTCATTGGCATTTAAGTTAAAAGCAGTTTATTTTTGTAACTTGCTTACACTACTTGCTTATACTACTCCAACTAATAAAGTCCGAGAAACATTTTTTAAAATAATATCAATATTATAATTATAATATAGAATTATAACGACAAATATGCAGTTTTAATACTTTTTCTAACTATTCTTGTTTTATTTCTACAAAAATTCAGAAAGACAGCTCATTTATACCGTGTACAATTATTCAAATAACTCGAAAACCTAAATACAACTAAAAGCCGTATACATAATACCTTCGATTAAAACATTTTCATATCATAATGACTTTGCTAGAGATCAATCAGTCATGTTGATGTAAAAGTTAAAATGTATACATGTATAACCCAATTTATACGAATTTCAAAAAGGCTCAAAAGAAGGTAATTTATTGTTCAAAATTAAAACAATTTCCGATTCTTGGACATAGTATATAAAACTGAAACATGAATATATTAAATAGTTTTGATAAAATTCTATGAACTCTTGCTTCAGATAAATTAAAAAATTTATAGAATAATACTAGAACGGAATTGTATGTAAGTTCTGAATAAACTTGCAGCTCCTGGCACATATTGCCCGGAAAAATATAAACTAGACAAATCTCGTGAATATACGTTTGGAATCAAATCACAAAGTGAAAGATTAAGTCTTACTCCAGGTAACACTCGTCTACTTAATAAATGATACAATCCAAGTTGTTTATTCTGTGAACTAAAAAAATTGTTGATTTAGCTCCAGGAACATATTGCCCAGAAAATGTCAATATAGATAAATCTCCACAATATAGTTTTGGGTGCAGAACATCCATTGAAAAATCCAATAACATACCAGGTAATGAATGTTTAAAGAACTTCATTATTTATTTATCAATAATTGTATGCCGATTTCCAAATTTTCATTCGAACATTATATTTCGCAAATATATTTATGCTGAAAAAATACGGTAATATTGCTTTCGACTATATTTAGCTCCTGGGACTTATAGTCCAGAAAAAGTAAAACTAGACAATTCACCTCAGTACAGTTTTGGTTTGAAAGTAGAACATCAAAACAAAGAGCATCTTCCAGGTTCGTTCAGAATTGTTTGACTATAATATGTTACTAAATGAAAAATGTCATGCAAAGATTCTATTTGAAGGCCCAGGTCAATACTCTCCCGAAAAATCGAAAGTAATCTTGGAATCTACTTGTAGTTATACATTCGGCTCCAAAACTTCAACTACAGAAATCAAAAGAATTCCCGGTAAAATCAAACATATTATACATGGATATTCCAACGAAATCTTTTAGAAATTTGTGCTTTTTTGATCTGCGTAGACTGAACATAACGCGACTAATAATTCACTATTTGCACATAGCACATCGTTGATAATACACGTAGCCTTGTAACAGCTTTTTTATTAAAAAAAACACTTGCTTTTGAAAAATAAATTAGTAATGTAATACGCGTATTAATATCATTGAGAAAATAAAGATACGTACGGTCGCGAAACGGAATGTTGATTCTGTTTTCATATTAAATAACATGAATAACTCATTGAAAAATTAAAATATGAAAAAATGAGGATTATTAAACTGAAAAATTGGCGGGTAAGTTGGCGAAATCGAAAATGATGATTTGTTTGCGCGCAGCTCCCAACGTGTATAATATACCATCGGTGCTTGGTGGCACGAAAGAGAGCAACATCAAGACAGCACCGGCTTTTTCAATATCAGGGCGACAAAAAGTGTTCACGGATTTTCGAGTTTTGGTACCAGGACCTGGCTCTTACGAGTCAATCAAGCCGGATGCCGTGAGATCCAAGAGTCCTGCTTACAGTATCAGCGCGCGCTACCAGACACCAAACGATCGTTCGCAGATACCCGGTCCCGGAGCTCATTGTCCTGAGAAAGTGAGAATGATTACGCCATTGATTATCTTTTTTCTCTTATTTACTATTCTCATAAACTTTCTTTGTAGGTAGTATTAGATGTGCCTCCTGCGCATACTTTCGGCATCAGACACTCGCCTTTTATTTGCGACTTGAAGGATGCTGTGTGCTGAACACCATATGTTGCTCTAGATGCAAAGCTATTCCACCATTTTATGTTTTTATTTATCAGACTGTAAAATATCTGTTTCTCCAATTAGATTACGATTTTCATTTATAATATCTATTTTGCATACGTCACGGAAATCTTTTGGCACAAACAATCCATTGATTATATTTTTTTGATTTCATTGCGGCCACATGTTCCTAAAGCCTTGGAAAATTACAAAAAAAAATACTTTTTTTCCACTAGTCAATAGCACTGGATTGTTTAAACTTCGTTGACGTACAAATTATTAATTTATATATATATGTATATTATACATATGCTACCCCATTTCATAATCTATATCGCTTATAAAAAATTATTCTTTTATATTTTTCTAAATATGTAGCTAAAACACTCAAACTTCCTGTAGTTCTTTTGTAAAATAAAATAAATAATTATAAGGATGTTTTATTTGACTAAGATGCATTGAAATTAATCAAGTCAAAAGGATTTGTAACTCTCAAATATTTAATACAAAAAAAGAAATACAACATACTAAACGATTAATAATAACATAATACAGTCAGTATTTTCCCAAAATAGTGCTTTATGTAAAAATTGTTTGTTTAATTACTGGTTAGTAAATGCGTTTTTGTATACAATAAAACAAATAATTAAGGCAGCCCTTGTTTCTCATACACATTTTGGCCATTGAAAAGGTCACAGCTATTCCGATCGCTAATAACTATTCCAAAAAGCTTATGGAATATTAATATTGCAATGTATATTTTGCACTAGATACTTACTTGTTCCTTGAACATTCATATACGCATTCACCAGCGATCCACGTAGAAATTACATGTAAATCGTCATTTAGAAATACAAGATCGGCCTCTGCTCCAAAATTAAGGACCCCCTTATCAGATTCTATTTCTAAGGCTTGTGCTGGATGTAGAGTTGCTGCTTCAAGGGCTTCTACTACTGAGCAACCTGGAGTAGTATTAAATTTAATTATATAAATTAAAAATCTCTATATATTTGGATATTACAGATCTTTTGGCTATAAGACACGTGCAGAATCAAAGTACAATAAAATGTGATTTTAATCAACAATAAGTTTTGATTAAAATGATTTTATAAGTTTATATCGAACATTTTTTAGTTTATGCTATAAAAAATGTACAATACTTTTACAACATAAAAATTCTTGCATCAAAATTTACCTGCGGCTCTTTTAAAAAATCGTACACATTCAGACATGTCAGCAATACTTCCACACAATGTATCAGTTCCTGCAATATATGCCTTGCCACCTCGAACTTCAATATTAAATAGTCCTAATTGATGAATGCCCTCTTCAAGACCAAGAGCTGAAATAGCATCCGTAACTAATATAAGACCTAATGAACATAATTGCAAATATTATTTTGAAAAATAACATACAATAAATTATTTACTTTGATATACCTTTTGGATGAGTACGATGTGCAATTCGTAAAGCAGCTGGATGTGTATGCACTCCATCAGCAATAATACCATAATATACAAGTTTTCCTGATGGTAACTGATCGGAAGCAAGTAATCCAACAAGACCTGGATCACGATGATGAAACTGAAATATAACAATTGCATTAAAATCCATATAAAAAAGATGTTTTAAGTAGCAAAATATAGTAATTGAAAGTTAATGAACAGCTATTTACTGGAAGCATTGCATTAAATAAATGTGTAATAAATGTTGCTCCATTTTTGACTGCTTGTTCTCCATATTTAAGATCTCCAGCTGAATGACCTATCATCAAAAATAAGATACTTATATCATAAATATCCATGGTTTCAAGATAAATAATAAAAGTTAGTTTAGTTACAGACCAACAGAAATTTTTATATTTTTCCTTCTTAATTCTTTTATAACTTCCAATGCTCTATCAATTTCTGGAGCTAGTGTTACATAGCAAATATTATCAAGACAGCCATATACATCCAGAACAGATTGAAAGCCCTAAAATAACTTAATATTATTAAAATAAAATAGAAGAAAATTAAATTGGAAGTAATTTTAAAATATATTTTACGTTTTCAAATTTTTTTATACACTTCTCTGGGTGTGCTCCTTTTTTTAAAGGATTTATAAATGGCCCTTCTACATGAACACCTAAGACAGCTGCTCCATGTCGTCCACCTTGTTGCTTCTTGATTTTTGGAAGAACTTTGTGATAAGTTTCTACTGGTGAAGTTACTAGTGTAGGGCAAAATGATGTAACTCCGTATGATAGTAATTCTTTTGCTACTGTGTTGATTCCATTTTCCACATTATCAGTATTATACGAAAAATCAATGCCAAAACCACCTATTATAAAAACATCTAAGTGGCTAAATGACTTCTAATTTTAATTATAATTAAGTAACATCTACATACCATTAATTTGAATATCAATAAAACCAGGAGATATAATTGCACCACAGCAATTTACTTTATAACTGGGTTCAACTTTTTCATCGTAAAATATTTTTTCTGGATCAATTATTCTTCCATTCCTCACCCATAAATCTTCCGTAAGAATTTTTCCACGACGAAGAATTCGGCAATTGTAAAATTGCTTTAGCTGACTTTTGTTTAATTCCGGCATTTTGTATTATGATTACGGCTTATGACGAAAACTATAAATGGGCCATAATCTCCGGCGCTGTTTATTATCTCAAGTTGTTGTTATGCACGAATTTCAAATACATTTCGAGTATTATCAAATCTCGTGTGATGAATATCCAAATGCGACGTTAATATTAGTGTAAGATATTCATTCTATAATGTTACCAACTTTAATTGTTTATTTAATGACATCATGCGTATACCGTGAATACCTATAGTGCATATGAGTGTATCAGTCTCACATATTTGTTGTATCTAAAGAGTAACACGAGTAAATAAATTTATTAGATCTTATAGGCTGTCTCTCCAATAGATGCGATAATCGCACGTAATTGTGCAATTTCGCTGCCAACTTTGAATTTTTAATGAATTGAAATCGAACTAATCGAAGCATTGTAAACATAACTTTTCTTCATATGCCCATGAAATTCCACATAGAGAAATATAGATGTATGTAATGTATTTCATGTGTCTGCATGTATGTACACCCAGCGTGAATTGAATCGCGACCCCCCCAGTTAGGTTGGTATGAGTGCTACTTTTAGTCCGTAACGGTGGTTTTCAGATCGGCCATAGTATAACACTCGTTCTTAAATTATATAATTAAAACCTAAAATCAAATAATCATGCATCTAAATTCATTGTTCGGCAAACAATTAATTTTAAACCTAAAAACAAATTAGTAACGTTTTAGCTTTTTATCGTATCTTAAAACGAATTTTCATTTTTGAATTTTCCCGCGGTTTCTTCGTTCCGATGCAACGACGGAATTCTCATACCAACCTAACTGGGGGGTCGCGATTCAATTCACGTTGGGTGTACGACATAAGTACCTTATTTGTTTTTATTTAGCTTGTCTCTAGTGTCTTTATTTGACTTATCCAAATAAAGGTTATGTTGACAATGCGCTTCAAATCTTCGATTTCAATTCGTTAATCCGCTAGAGTTGCCGCTGGAAAAATATTTCTCAGGGTCCCTAGAAATTATTGTTTTATATTAAACTAGATAATTTCTAGGGATCCTAAAAACAATTTTTCCAGGGATGCTATTGGTTGAATCCGGTTGTGCAGACGCTCTAAAGTCTATACTGCAACTGCGCAGCCGAATCCATGCATCTCAATAAGACCCTAGCAGCAACCTATACAATGCAACTATGGATAAGCGTTGCTGCTGGAAAATTTTTCTTAGGGTCCCTAAAAGTTATCCATTTAACATAATGCAAAAATTTTTACGGACCCTGAGAAAAATGTTTTCAGTAGCAATCCTGCAACAGCGTTATGAACTATGTCAAAGTTGGCAGCATCTGGAAATTCCAATTATATCATTTATCGCTTAGGTAAGTTCAATTTGTATAAAATCTAAGTTTTATACATACGTTCATTTTATTAAAATTTGTATAGACTATATGGACTATAAATAAAATGCACATTTTTAAAAAATAAAAACGTTTCTGCATTTATTGATAAAAAAATTGATTACATCAGATTTTTTGCAATTTCTCTAGACTTATTTAAATGTAATACATTGTGGTAAAATTCTTGTTAAAAAGAATAAAAAACATATTCTTTATTTTTTTTTGTGGAAAAATGTAGCAAGTACAGAATTGTTATGCTTTCTAACAGTCAAGATATTTGTAAATTTTGTATTAAAATGTTCTTAACAGTACGAAAAATTTGTTATACATTTAACGGCTTTTTTTTTTTTTAAGGAAACATTTTCGTTTGGTATATAAATGTTTGAGTAACAATAGTATAAAATGAAGCAATCAAAAGCGCGAATAATGATTCTTTGCAGACAAACTTCTCGTGTTCATTAATGAAACTATCAAATAATCCACTTTAATAATCTCTCACAATAACGTCAATGACACGGTGCTCTTTATACGACTTTTCTTGCTGTTAGTGTCTTTCATCTAGTTATCATCTGCAATGGGAGATATGACGTAATTAGTAGACTGATTTCGTAAATAACAATTAATTAAAGACACAAGCGAAGGATATTTCGGCAATCATTGGCCAGTAGTTTTTGTCTTGTTCTTAAAAAATAGTTTCGTTTAAACGGTAGTATTACGGTTTCCTTATAATTTATATGAAAATAATTGTTTATTGCTGTTTGCATTCAGGTGCTTTATCATCTTGCTGCTTTAGCCCACCTGCTGGTTTGCGAGATACGTTTTCATCATCCTCATCCTCGTCTATTTCATCATCATCTTCATCTCCATCCTCATCATAATCTTCATCTTCCAAACCTTCCCCTAGAATAAATAGTTGTTAGTGTTAATGTCCAATCGATTTTATTTTTTTCTTCGCATATAAATTAAAACTGTAAGCTTACCAGTAAAATAAAGAATAGCTCTTGGCACTATTCTCTCTCTAATGTAATGACCAATTTCAAAATCAGATGTTAGCAGAGCTTGTGTATCTTCATCAACATATGCATCTGTGTCATTTGGCACTAAAAATGTAATAATAAATTGAATTTTCTTAGAATTTTCACGTATTAACATAAGCAATGAAAATAAACAGCTGAGTATTTACCAATTGGAGGTGAAAAAAAGTTAAAAAATGAATCATTCTGAACAGTTTTAGTTACTGTACGAGTGGTAGCTTTATTTTTATGTTTCTGATTCTTTTTGATAGTTTTTACTGTAATATTTTTGCCTTTTTTCCAATCAATCAAACAACCCTGAATAAAAAAAAGAAGTATTTATAACTCAAATTATTTTTCAATACAACAAACTGTATGTAATGAATACCTTGCACTTGTAAATTTCAGGCCCTTCAAAGCTGAAAGGATCATCTGCTTCCGGTGCACACTTCATGTGATACTCTTTTGTTAAAACAGAGTTTGAAAAGTATTCATTGGGAGAAAAGTGGAATTCCAACACAAATCCCTAAACATGGTAAAACATTTAACGATTGTCATTTAAAAATAACAAAAATATTAATAATGTTAAAAGGATAATTGTTGTATATGTACCATTGGATTTTTTTCCAAGAATATAACTTTAACATCATAAAGATGTTTCAGTATTGGCTCATCATGTAATTGCACCATCTCTGCTAACATGCCAACATTTTTGAATATTGTTAACCAAAAATCAGGAATGCCTTTAACATCTTCATCTTTGGTGCTGAAAGTAAAAAATTGTCTTCAAATTATAATATCAAATAAAATTTCAATTTCAATATTTATTAATGAACTAGACTTGAATTTACTATAACATTTTCTATATTAAAATTTTATTTAAAAAATAATCTCCAAAATTGTTTGTTTACCTATTTTTCTCTTTTTCTCCGGCATCATCTTTCACTTCTATTTTAACTTTAGATTTTAAATCATTTGTAATTTCTTCTTCTTCACTCTCCCATTCACATTCTTCTTCTGTTGGTTCATACACACCAGAAATGATGTTACTTCTTTGTTCATAAAGTGGAACACATAACTGATAGTAACGACATTCTAGTGCATGAACTTCTTCATAAAATTTAGCTTCGATATTTGTTGTCTTCAGCTGAAGTTGCTTTAATGCTTTAATTCGACGTTTCACTGGTGCAGGTAAGTGCTACAAAGAAATATACAAATGTTACCAAAAATAACAAAACATATTCATAATTATTTTTTATAAATTTTCATAGTAAAATTGAAATATTACATCGATATTGAATTCATTTAATTTATCCTGTAAAGTTGCAAAAAGATTTTGTTCATTCTGTTCTTTGTGTTCATTGCAGGTCTTGGTTTTATGGCTGTCTTCCTCATCTTCCATGGATTCCAAGTCACTAACATCAGCGCGTTCTGGGTCTGCAGACATTTTTCTGATTCAACTACAATAAATTGAATTAAAATAAAACATTTCTATGAATTTTTTTGAATAAAGATGCAATCAAAATACTTAGAGAACATAATCTTAATAAAATGAATAGGGATATCTAATAAATTATAAAAAAAGGGTTTTTTTACAAGGCTGACAAGTATCTTCTGGTGCTTGAATTTTTCAATTGTACTTAAATAAATTGTTTACTAAGAAAATATAATTTATTTAAGTGCAATTATCCATTGAAGGAGGCTTGTTACGACTGAGCAAGCAAATAATGGAATAAAGCTAGCTAAAAATGTGTGATTAGCATGAAAAAAGAATATGAAGCCATGAAACAGTGTTTAACAAAATTTATTAAGAAATTAGGGCTGATTTCCTATCGCCATTTTCATAGAAAGAAACTAGCTAGATGACAAGACGTTAAGGTTAAAATTTAAGTCATCCGCGTGCTAACAACTTTAAAGAAAATGTTGAACTGAAAAAGAAAAAAAATGTAGACAATGAATAACGAATATTGAATTTCAGAGAAAAACTACTGTGAAATGTACCAATTATACGATTTTAAAAGCAAAAAATACATCGTTTCCGAAAAAGTGATTCTTGGGCACATGGTACGCTTCGAGCCGAATCAGCACGCCCGAGGTTGCGGCGCAACAAAATATGACAAGAATGAGAAACAAGCGGCTAGCCGCGACTCGTGAAACAGCGGTGAAAATTAATGAACGCAGATTTAAAAAAATAGAAATATCAATAACTACTTAAAAATTACATCCTTGAGAAAAAAATAAGCAGAGGAATCAGAATTAAAACGTCACGTTAACGTAAAAATTTCAGAAAAAGAAAAATGTGCATTTTATGAGTACCTTTGTTTGATGATGAAGGACAAGGGACGACAATCACTTAGATCGACTGATTGCCTATGTGTGGCCTGCAGTTATGAGAACTAGACAGTAAGAAGAAGAACCAAGTGCGCTATGACGAACAACGGACTCGTTTGCTAGTCTTAAGCTTGAGCCTCGATTGTAAAGCAAGACAGCCGGCCCTACGTGCGTGCGCGAAAGAGAGAGATTGAGCTCAGAGAGAAGTTCGCAAATTGACTAGTACTCTGAAGTTAGCGTTGAAAAACTATGGCGGGAAACAATCATTTCCGGTTTTTATTTTCGATATGACTACTTCGAGATTACTCTGAGTATACTCGTCTCTTGAATGCGAGTGACAAAATACAAATTACCTGACATACATTTTTTTTTTCTAAATTTAGAACTACTACTCTATACTTCTTATTTTTCAACTCTTATTATTACGTTTACAGTCTGCCTTCTTATTTTCCATTTTCCTGCTTTCAAATAAAAGTGTTGCTAAACACTTTTTCAATAACACTCATAATTGTCATTGAATATAAAGAGTCTGGTTCAACTGCAAATCATAGGAAATTAACGTATGGCTTGAATAAAAGTAAGATAAAGAAAATGAGATTGCAATGTAATTTGCGAGCGAGAATGACTAGATATTATTTATTTCGCAGGAAAATGTGATAATGAATTGAGATCACCTGTTTAGATTTGTTGTGATACTATTCAGTGATATGTTTATCGGCTAGAGATTGTGGCTACAGGCCTATAACCTTATTGCCTATACTTATATACCTACCTACCTATCTATCTATATCGAGTTTTGTTTTTGGAACTCATGCATGCCATGCGCATGCGCTTACGTTCACGTACACTAAGATAGAGTTATATTCATTTCTTAACCTGGCTGTGTGTATATGCGTGTATGTATACGCGCTCGCGCGAGCGGGTAGTGTTGGAGGCTCGGATTCGGAACTGAGTGTCTCTCGTGTTCCTCGCGCACGCGATAGCTCCGATAAAAGCATAATCGATATTGTGAAATTTCGATAGTCTGCGCAGGAGTATGGCCAAACATGGATTTTCATCTGTCTGCTAAGACCAGAACAAAAACAAAGAACAGGCCGTCGCGGCACGACTGAGTGGTGCACGTGAAAACTTATCTACCTTACCAATTTAGCCAAGCTGAGAGGTTCTCTATCTTCACGAAAACAGCGAGAAAGGCAAAAAACCGCTACTACTGCTACTTCAGCTGTGGCCGCCGCCGATTGTAGCCAGTTAACACTTATATTATGATTGACATCAAGCTATGCCGCTCGCTATTTCTTTTCACGCTCCTAGCCTCTATCACGCAAATTCAACCGTCTTTGCACGGCCATAACAATGGTGAGTCGACAATTTTTATGTCATCTTTGCTTGTATTTTTGATCTTTTCTTTCCCTCTATCTTTATCTATCTACAACAATTTTTAATACGTTACTTACTCTGAGCACATTAGTATTTTTAACAAACTTACACCGGCGATCCGTTACAATAACGTAGTCACAAGCTTGACTGAGTGTTCCTCGAGTTAATTCTTCTTTTTATGCTCACTGTTTACCTAGCAAGCAAGTCTGAATTTTATTTTAACTTGCTCTAATAATTTTTTCTCTTAGCTGCTCCTGTTTCTCCCTCCCCTCATCTAATACATTACCCTTGAATCCTATAGATTTCAACAAATCCACAGTGAAGGTCTTTTTGCATATTTATTTTTAACTATCATTTGATAAGGCTCCCTCAAAAAAATCAATTTTCATTTGGTTCTCAAACCACTATGGTCATAGTAAGCTGTCTGTAGTTTATCGTCTTGACTAAAGTATAACAAATAAAAAGATAAACAAACTCCAAATAATATGCTTATCAGAATTGAAAAGAAAGAAATATACCTCATTATGATTTTATCACATCAATGAAGATTGTTGTTCTTATGCTTTCAGCATTTGTCCAAGATGATGACATACAGTATTTGTTGGAAAACTTACCTCTGTCTATGCACAAGGTAATTAAGGACTGAATTGATTTTTTTGAAATAATTTTTTTATGCTCTCTTGTAATAATTCTAATATTTTATACTTATCATTTTTATTTTGCAGGGGTTCACTAATTCAGTACATGGACCAGGGTAAGTGCAATTCTAGTAGGGATGAAAATAAGTGTAATTCATTAATTAAGGAACTTTCTTAAATCATTATAAACTCAATATAAATATTCAATAAAAATTGTACATTTATAATCACTTGAATTGTGATATTTTTGTTGCTTTAAAACAAGTATATTTGTAAAAGATAAAATTTATGTTTTCAGGGATCCTTTATCAGAAGAAAATATACAAGATTCTATTCCTCATATTGAGTTTGAACCAAATATTTTGGATTTTAAAGAAAGGTATGGAAAGACTATTGACTTTTAGTTATTTTATAAGTATTATATATAATGATTTATGTTTAGACAACTTGGTATTCCTCATCAAGAAACTGTTACTCTTTTCAACAGAGATGATAATAAAACTATTCACCTCTCCTCTATTTCTGGGAACACTCAACATTTTCATTCATCTTTTTTTCAAGATAAAGTAAACTAGTAATTACAAGAATTATAACTAAATATGATAATTGTATTTTCAACTTTATTTTTTCTCATTTCAGGTGATTCCTCCTTTGGGTAACACAACTTTTAATGTTGTCTTTCTAGGTAGAGAAGAAGGTGAAATCGATAGTTACCTCTTTATACACACATCAGATGGCACAATAAAATATCAAGTAAAAATCGTTCGATTAGTTCATTTTGTTTGAAATCAATAAGCAGATGAGTTCTCAAATATAAATTCATTTTTGATAGGTGAAAGGCGTAAGTGTAAGCAGTCCTTACCGTTTACGACCTGTAGTGGGAGTTAAATTACCTATAAATGCATCTTTTACACCATTAATTTATATACATAATCCTCATTCTGAACCTATGCAGGTGAGTTATACCCACAACTTCATTTTAAACTAATTGAGTTTTCAAGATACAATAAAACATTTACAATTGTAATGTTATAGGTTGTAGAAGTATACAGTAGTGGACGAGAGTTTCAACTAGAATTGCCATCTGGAGAAATAGAAGGTCCGCGTGAATTATGGGAAATTCCTCCTTATCAAACAAAGCCTGTAATAAGACTATACTTCAATGCTTACATCGAAAAAAATTATACTGCGTATATAAGGTAAGAACACTTTTTGTTTGTGTTCGTTAATTAGACGCTATAAATTTTCGCATTTAAGTGCTCATATTTTTTGTTTGAATAGGTTTAGGGTCAATAATAGCGCAGAAATATTAATTGTGGCTGTGGAGATAGAGGTAGGCAGTGGAGCTGGTCTTCATTGGGGTGGCAGCTCAGCAATTGTCAACTTTGGTATGGGAGGATCTAATCAACCACCAATTCGTTATCAAATTTCTTTGAAAAATTCAGCCAAAAAGCCTGTCAAAGTTCAAGTAATTATTTTTGTCTCTTTTTTGTTTTACTGTTTATTGTATGTGTTATGTATGTGTGTGTTTTTTATGTATATTAATTTATTAGTCATTGATTTGAATTATAGAATATCATTAGCACGCCAACCTCAAAAGCTTTAAGAATTAATTTTGAGCCTACTGTGATACCAGGAGAAACAGATGTACCAGTGGCAGTGGGAACTTTAACATACGATTGTAATTAAATTTTGACATTGACGCTTTCGGTCATAGATATTAAACATAATCAATTTTCTGTTTAATATTAAAAGGGAAAACTGGATTGGATTTAAAGCATTTTAAAGGAAAACTATTGATAAAGGGTATTGGGCCTGGTGGTTCTAGTCAAAAATTAGCAATACCTTGGATCGCAGAAGTTTTGCAAGGTGGTCTCGAGGTCAACACTTCTGCTGCTCATTACTGCTCGCCACAATCCAGTCAACCACGAAATTTCAGCGTTGTTAATAAGTTTAAGCTGCCTTTAGCTATAACTAACATCTCACTCCCATTTGAAGCATCTCCTCTTTTTACTGTAAATTCATTAATAGCAATGAATTATCGCATCTCTTTCGTCGGTTGTGCATCATTTTTTACAATAAAATTCGTTGTTTCAGATAAGTAATTTTGTTCCAAAAATCTTAAAGTCTGGTCAAAGAGACAATATATTTACGTTGTCATTAACGCACGATAAGAAGAGTGAAAACCTACAATTGGAGTCGTTGATATTGATACACTCTAATGTTTCTACAACTGAAGTTCCATTACTTAGCTATAATGGTAAATTAAAGAAGATAATACCGGAGGAAAGAGAAAGCGACGAAGGTTCAATGAATTTCGGCACGGTTAGCAGCGGCATAGAAAGCGAAGGCATTTTTGCTCTCGAAAACCATAATCCTATAAGTATAGAGCTGCACGGTTGGGGAGTCAATATGCCTGGCGCTGTTTTAGAGTTGATGGGCTGTCAAAATGGTCCTACAGATTTATTTCATAAGAGCGTACGGAACATAAGCGCCTGTAGCGTCACAGGAAACGTAAGCTTAACAATTTTATATACTTTCGCTTGTATTAGTCTCACTTTATTAAGCGACTTTTCAATGTCTATTTCGATTTTCATAACTTTGCAGCAAAGCATTAAACCAGATCATCTGGCAATTTTTAAAATTAAAGTGAAGACTCCGTTTGTCGAAGAAGATACCATAGTAGGAGATGTATTTGTTAGGACAACTTATGAGAGATTGATTGTACCAGTTCACATGAAAGTAGCACATGGAAAACTATCCGTAAAAAAACTTACATTCACTGAATGTTTTCCGGTATATATATTTCTTAGGCATGTGTCATTTTGACAAATATATTCACTTTAGCTAACAATCTTTGTTTAAATTCTAGGGTTCTATTTGTTTGCAATCTTTGAAAGTACACTCTACGTTTGCAAGGCCCATGGAAGTGACATTTATAGCTCCTCTGCATAAAGATGAAAAAATCAAATACGTTCCTCTGGACATAGCTTCGAGCGCTGTTATTTCCAAAGGCGATAATCATATTGGTTCTATCTTAATAGATCCGTCAATCACTTGTAAACAACGTTGTTATCTTGGCTTATCGTTAAATAGCAGTCGTAAGAGTCATTTTTTGATTTTTAAATTTTTTTCTCTTTAAAAGAATACCTAAATTTGTTATATTACTTAATGCTTTTTTTAGTTGGGAGTCAGTGGTTGAATACATTAAATTTACCTTCGCACACACGAGATTCTGATTTAAATATTTTAAATAACCGTTACACGCGTTATTTAAATACATCAAACGGCTTGTGGGATAACGTGACAATGCAGTTAGATACCAGCGAAGTTCGCGGACACAGATTTTCCGTGAATATCAAGCCTTACTGGCCAAGTCTTTTAGTCGGAAATCAAAACTGGAAAAATAAGAGTTTACTATCGTTTCCTCTGACTCAAGTTGGAAACGTTTCGTATAAAATCATTACACTGCATAATCCAACGATGTACCCGCTTGTTGTTCATTTGGTAATGGATTGGAGTTATCCACAAGGAAATAGATTATTCCATTCGTTACCCAACAAGTAAGCCTCTCCTTAATTGAAATTAACCAACTTTTGCAAAAAATAGTCATCAATAATTATTTTCTTTAAGGTTCAAGCCGGTATGCGCAGAATGTCCGACTAGCGTGCATAGTGAATTCAAATTGGACAATGCCCTCAACGATAAAAGTTCTTTTGAACGAAAATGGAGAATATCCGCTGCGTCTCATACCCTCCCGACAGTTTTAAAAGCTAATGAAACAAAAACAATACGACTGTCATATACGCCGTCGGCTGCTGCACCGTCATCCGCACTTTTATACATACGGTAAGCTTTATGACGGATCACATTAAAAATTAAGGAATTGTCTATGATTTGATAGCGCTCGTTTGTCATATTACAGGAACAATATGACTATACTGGAGATAGTGCGGCTGGTGGGTCGCGGGGCTTATGCGCAATTCAAATTTGGCAATCGCAAGCCGGGATCGCCGGTGCCATTATCGTTCGAGCTCACAGAAAAGCACCTGAAGGACTGCGATGGTGAATTTGGCGGTATGATTAAAATTTTGCTGCTTGCAGTGCAAGTAACTGTCGATCACTTTCAGCTGGTCAATGGAGTGAAAAGAGTCCTAGCCCAAACCTCACGGTGAAGCGCTCGTTCATGGCACGTAACACAGGCGAACTGCCGATAGCGGTACGCGGCTTCTACATAAGTGGACTCTCTTGCGAAGGCTATGGCTTTCGAGTGCTCAACTGCGCGTCTTTCAGACTTGAACCTAACGCAACAAGGAAAATCGAAATAGCTTTCACGCCAGATTTCACGTTGTCACGTGTAGAGCGTAGTCTGCTGATACGAACGAGCCTTGGGCCCGAAATCAGTGAGAATACCGAGCTATTGAATCAGGAGCGCGGCCTTGTCAAACTTAATCTCGTTGCCAGCCTTCCAGCTCATATGCTCGAGGTCTGCGCCAGTATGCTAGCCCGACCGTCTTGGGAAAGCTCCCTCCAGTCGACCGCCACCGTTCTTACTCTGGTGCTGCTGGTCTGCTCCTTGGGTAAAGTCTCAACGCTACTTCTGTTACCGTCTCCACTTTAGCGATCGCTCATGCTTTATTTTTGTTTGTACCTTTCAGTGGCGGCCTTCATTGAAGCCGATCGTATATTGAGAGGTGCACTGGTCAATTTATCCCGAGGCAATCCTACGCAGCCTCCATTGGATCTCAGGTCACTTTCGCATCAACACACCCTATCGATGCCACATCAATCCTACCAGTCAAGTAATAGCAATAATCATCAGCATTGCAAGGACAAACTTGCGGCCCTTTTGCATAATGACAACTCAACCAAGTCCAACGTTAACTCGGCGAAAATTGGCAAGAAGGAGGACAATTTGCTTGACTGGACGTCGCTTGTATACGCAAAAAACAGCAAAGACGAGGATATGCACAAGAACATTAAGATTTCCGATTGGTCGCTAGAGGAAGAACGCAAGTTCCGAATAGATGCCGAGGCCAAAGATACGCCATTGTCAAAATGTTGTCTTGCTTCCGATACATTGGCTTTTGAACCAATAACTAATAATCAAAATCCAGTGCCCACCAAAAAACGAAATAACAAGCGTCAGAATGTGCAAGAGACCCACGTAGAAAACTCATCCACGACGACTGAGCCGTCTTCTTCCGTTCCTGATACACAGGTCATAGCTAAGAAAACTTCGCCCTCAACCAAATCCAGTCCAACTTCATACAGAAAGGGCAAATCTTGTAAAAAAGACACGTTGAAACTTGTCACTCATGAAGTACAAATCGACAGAGTAAATTCGTCGGCGAGTTCCGTAAGCAAAGATGCCACTGTAAAATGCGAAGGTAATAAACGGAAACGATCGACTGGAACAAATGGCGCTGCTTCTAATAGCAATAACCTTTACAAAAAATATGAGGCTAATGCTGGTCAAAAAGTCACACAATATTCCGAAGAAGAAACGTCATCGACGACGACTGAAAGTTCCGTTCAAGATGATAATAATACATACAAGGTAAATTTCGAGAATTGCATTACTTTTGACTTGCATCTAAATGTTCACTCTTTTGTTGATTGGCATGTTTGATAGCTCGTTTGTACTCTTGATAGTAAATATGAACCATAAATTTTTTATGGCAAACGTGAACGTTAATGATAAATCGAATTCTATAAAAATATACCTCAAAGACCAAGATTATTTATGGAGAAAGCTACTGCTGCTTTAAATTTCATACCAATTTGCTACAGAATTTACATATAATTTTCTACTCAATTTAAATATTGATACTAAACTGAGTAGAGATGGTCAGAACAGTTTTCGTTGAATATATGTAATTAATTATTATGTTTACTAAAGAATTTGAGAAGTTGTTATTCAACAAAACATAACATCAAATCATAAATATGTAAACGCCCTTTCAATTATTTATGAAGTACATAAGTATTTGTGATAATTTTTGGTTTATTATTATTTCATTATTACTTATATTGTCATTGATAATGTCAATATAAGAATACTTACGGCTCACGTATTTTCTATTAATAAATGATCGATTGATGGAATTACAAGCATCAGGAATCATATTGCAAAATTATTAGAGGTGTGCTGCACGATAAAATGAAATTTTTTTTTAAGTTGCACGAATTTTATTATTTACTTCAAAATCAACTGATGTACATTCAAGGCGCACACATTTGTGACACGATTAGATTTCTTCGTTTTTATATCAGCAATACAATTAACTATCAATTTGTTGGGTTACTGAAGGCCGCCATCATCAAATAACAAAATCTTGATAAATCGTGAATTTTGGATAAAGTTATTTCATATCATTGACGTGCTGCAACGTTATAATAAGCTTACGCAAATGAACGTAATTTATACTATTTCTTTTTATGATCAACTATATCCTTTAAATATATAATTAATGCGCTACGTTAGGGACCGCGAGTAGAAAACATGGAAATTTAAAAGAAATTTTCAGATTTTTTAAGTAATGACTGTCTTGGTTTTTGTATATACAATATATATATATAAGCACTTGGACATTCGCAATTTTTTATGAATGCTAAAAATAAGGTGCTTTACTCAAATAATAAATAAATGTAAGTTTAAAAAGTCATACAGCTGTGATAATTATAAATTTATAAGTATTATGTAAAAGTTCAAAATTCGGTGGATTTGTCCATATCTCTTTTTACGCGCTGGTTCGTAAGCCAGAATTTGGTTCATGAGTTTATCAATTTCATAAATTTCCTTGTTTTCACTAGTTTTTAATTCCACAAAGAATATTGGTAATGGCCATTTGATTATTCTATGTTTATTATTTGAAATTCTAATTACTTTATGATAACACCTTTCAATTTCTCAATTTTTTTTAATTCATCAATATTGACCAACGGGTGCATGTTTTTTTAAAACCGCCTTATATGATTTTTTCTGCTTTCTTCTGAAATGTGTAAAAATCGGTATTTTTCCTTTTTAATTCATTTATTTTTGAGGAAGAAGCTTCCGTTTTTTTCTATTTGTATTTTCATTTAATTATTTTGTAATACTTTTAAAATATATGCTCTTTTAGCAACTTTATCAAGAAAATTTTATAAAGAACCAATATTTAAAACTCTACTTATGAATATCGATGATGATTGTGGCAATTAAAAAATTACCGTTATTGTGAGTGGTGTGTTTACTTTCCTGTCTTATCGTTTCCTTCCTTTTCTTTCAAAACATCAAATTGATTATTTTTTCCCAATGTGTTGTTGTTGGAATCACCAAGCCAGTAATTTTTGACGAGGGCTTGCCTTTTCTTAATAATTCTGCTTTCTTCTGGGCTGTTTTTCGGTCTTCTGCTTTGTATACCGTTTTCCAATCATTTGATTTGTTATATGCTTCTTCCTAGCTTAGAATTATTTATAACTGGTGTCATCTGTCTTGATTGTTTTATAGCAACCATGTTGACCGGTTTTGTTTTCGTTACTAGACTCTCAGTGTTTGTTTGATTTGTACTATTTTAGAAAACTTTTCTAAAAGCATTCGAAAAACTATTGATCATTATTACAAGAAAATAAAAATAATAATTTTTGGCTATCAGAAAACAATCGTAATTAAATATGTGTACGCTTCAAAATGTCCCTCTCTCAAAATGGATAACGTGATAATTTTTTTTCATACATAACTTAGCGTAAACAGCTTGTAATTATTACTAAATTTAATCATTTTTTAGGAATGTGAAAGTACTTATGATAAAACAGATAAAGCACAGAAGAAATCTTCAACTACAAAATTAAAACCACAAAATAATTCTGCTGTGCCATCATTAGATTATAAGGACAGTTACGAAGGTGACTGCGACGATGATGATTACGATAAAGATAAACAGGATAATTCCAACAAATGGAAAACAAGTACGAATAGATCCACAAGTAAAAGTCAAATGTCACGGCTAGCTATGGAATCGAATAAGTTACCTCGCCCAAAACAAAATCCTCCTCGAAAAGAAAAGGTTACTCTGAAACGACGCAGTGCAGAGAAGAGTCAACCTAAAGGTAATAATTTTTTCATCTTTAGCTTACCATCAAACATTATTCAATAGTGAATTTCCATTTTCATCTAAAATTTTAAACGCATTAAGTTTTAGTACCTGTAACTAATGAAAATAGTTGTCAGAAAGAGGAAACGAAATCTCCGCCAGTTCTTTCTTCAGTTTCTGTGCCAGTTTCATCTCCTCCAACGGCTGCTGCACCACCACCTCTAGTTTGTTGGGGCGAGAACAGAGCGAAATTTAGTGATGTAGTAGCTCGTAATCAAGACAACTTATCTCAAATGTTTTCAAACTACGATAGTTGTAAGACACAAAGAGCAAACTCGCCCGGAGTAGCTGGATCATTTGGCGGAGATAATTCAGATTGTACAAAGCATCAATTTATGCAGGACAAAACTTTGAATGATTATAAGTTTAATGGGAAACCCATTGGCACTCCAGTAGAGCAGGAAGGGTCATCGAATCGCACGGATCGTTTGAGCTTACACTCAAACAATCATCTGCATAGTTACTTTGCTAATACGTTTAATGATACAAAGGTATGGTTATATAGCATTTAGTAAAAATATAAGATTTTTTTATAAGTTACATTCTTTAATTCAACCATTATCTAGTTAAAAAAGGTTTGCCACGTAAGAGCACCTGCTGCCTCTATTCAAAAAATGGTTTCAAACTTTTATTATTTAAAACGACAATATTCATTTTATTATGACACATGTGCAAAAATGTCCATTCTTTCCATATTTTTGTATTGTTTACTATTATTTTTTCATTTACAGTTTGGAAGTTTTACTAACAAGAATACCATCAAAAATGCCCGTGTTTCGTGTTCTATTTATAGCTCTCTTTTGCCGACTTCGAAAAGGAGGAGATTGTATTCGACCTGATTTAAAAAAAATGTTTATTTGCTTATGTTTATATTTTCGGATCGGTAGATGGATTTAGTTTAAAGGATAAGCTTGATAATTATTGATTCCATTTCATATTAAAGTCGACTTTTCTTTCAAATTTTCTTATATAATATTCAATATATGAATAAAATTAATAAAAAATAATAATTATTCAATCAAATCAATAATAAAATGAGACTATATCGGAAGTATACCCTTTTCAATAAATACAATCCTGTCCATTGAAATCGTTTGAACCAGTCTCGAAATATACGTAAACATACGTACAAGAATCAGGTTGAATACAGAACTTTTAATTTTGTGAAGTCAGCAAGAAATTATAATTCTCTCCAAAGCATGATATTTTTAGAAGAAAAAAATTAAAATTAAATATTTTAAAATAATTTATTTTAAAATTCTTATTCGAAAACAAAGATTTTTATAAAAAATTGAGAGTTTTAAGTTTTTGTACATATTTTAAGATAAATTAATTATTAGTATAATTTTTGTTTAGACAGAAATTTTTGATAATTTTTTTGTTCGAAATAGAAGGATTAGACCTCATTTTTCCATTGCTGAACTTTAAATTGCGCTAGGTCTACTTTTTCAAGAGTTATTTCATTTTAAAGAGAAATTTCAAAAAAGGTCCACTAGATGAAAGTACAGAATGGATACGTTACAAAATCTGTAATATCTCTATGGATAAAACTCTGAAGCACGGGTATGTTTATTTTTGATGAAGAATATTTTTTCAATCTTTCATCCAATCAGTGTTTGACAGGTTTGATTGTTTTTTGTAAACAAATGAAAAAAAAAACACAAGTATTATTGACTCCAAGCTAAATAAATTTATCGGAAAAAATAATATAAAGTAATAAAAAATATCATTTATGTTAAATTTCAAGTATTGTAAGTTTCGATCTGTATTGTTAAACGTTTTCTGTATCGTAAACATTTGAAATTATTATTTTTGTTAATATGTTAAATTGTAATATCAAGTAGTAATAACTACTAATGTAATAACATTATTTTTTCATTTTGTTTTAGTATGATTGCGAGCTAGTTCCGTATACTGATTTACCTGACACTGATGAACCACTTGTTGAATTAGAAAGCACGGAAGAAAATGCCAATTGCAAATTATGGCACCACAATAATTTACTACTAGAATTGATGCCTGCAAATACAAGCTTTCAGTTACCAGATCCTCCTATCACTACAGAAAAAATTCCACCTCTACTAGATACTTTAAAAGGTTCGTTTTCTATTGTCGCGATAAATCTGATAAAACATTTCACAGAGTCAATAAGTAATTTGAAACATTTTTTCCATTATATTGCAGATAATTGGGTCACTGTAGAAACTAATTGGGAACCTTTGTACACACGTGGAGCTGTCGGAGAAGAAAGAAGCGGTGTTTGGGGAATAAACACTGGCGGTGTGTGGTCCGCGGCACCATGGGGGGCTCCAACTCGACCACCAACATTGCAGCCTACTTCACAATCAAGAGATCAGAATATTCAAGTATTTGTCATTTCCAATTTTATAAAATCTTACAGAGTTCAATCACACGCGTGAATAGTTACATTAAAAGTGCACCTCGTTCTTTGATATACATATAAAATATTTTAAAATTATGTCGATGGCTTCACTGTATAAAATCTCAAATCTATTTTTGTAATTTCAAAATATTTGAGCTTGAAATTTTGAATAAAATACATCAGCTTGATCTGTCCCTTGTAGAACTTGACATTGAACAAAAGTTACTTACTCTTGAAACATTACTTTAAATTCTTTGAAAGTAATTTATCCTTCTTACATATTCTGTTAGAGCTTTAAAATTACATATCTAGAAATCATAAAAATTATGCAATTATACTAGGAAACCATGATATAATAGTTAAGAAACTCCTTGTAATTTTCTTCTAACTGATAATCGAAAAAGAATATACAGATAAAGCTTTATATTTAGATATAAAATATTCATTTTAATAGTTTCAATACGTATGATTTTTATAAAAAAATAACTTCAGTCATCTGTTCCAGCATTATTTATCTTAAGTATCAAGGTATTAAACTAAAGTAAAAATGTATTATTTTGCAGGAACGTTCTGATTTCGATCCTTTCCGATCTTTAAGTACGATATGGACACCGTCTTCATCGGACACATGGACTTCGAAACACAAATGACTACAAAATCAATGGAACTCATTGATTATTGTGATAAAGTTGCTGCATATTTTACGACTTTTTTAAAGGACTCTTATATCAAGAGTCTTAATGGGTGACGCACCAAATGTTTGTGATATCAAAAAATATTTCGTTTCTTATTCTTTTCAAAAAATAAATTATAAAATTAACAATTAGAGATTGATTCAGATTTGAGACAAGTGTTGACTTGTGTAACACAATACTTTAACTTTTTTTTCTTTTCAACTTTGATAAAAGCACATAAAATCCATTTCAATAAAAAGACCATTTGTTGTTCATTTCAATATTTTTCTATTGAATGCCCATTTAAATATAGTTATATTTAAATTTAGAACAGGTATAGTATAGAATATTTTTAACAAATAATGAAATGATTACATATTTTGTGAAGAAAATTTATTTTATTTAAAATTTAATTTCAAATTTTATAACTGCCACAAAAGAATTCATTATTAAATTTTAAGCTAGTAATTTTATTTAATATTGAAATGTATGTAACAGAAAATACATTGTAGATATCTGAGATAAAATCACAACTGCGTAACTCGAAATCCTGGTATTTTGTTTGTATTTAATGCACATGATTTTGCTTTTTGAAGTCTTTGCAACAGCATCTAAAAATATTATTCAGAAGTTTCAATAGTTGCATTTATTAATTATTAATGATTATTAATTGGTATACCATGTTATCTTCTTCTATTTTTCTTTGCGATTTTTTTCTATTAATAGCCGAACTGCTTAATTTTTGTAGTGTAATATTTGCTTTTCCCTTTCTTGTTTTTTGTTGGGCCATAATTTTTCTTAACAAAATTTCATTGTCACGTTCAATTTTCATAACTTCGTTATTGGTAAAACTCATGTTTTTTCTTTGAGGAAGCAATATTGAATTTTTTAGAGGTCTTACTCCATTGAGATCCAAAGTACTCATCTTTTCTTCTAAAGTTAAGCATAAACCTTTACATTCTTTTGAAGCTAAAGTTATTGTACCAGTTGATGATGTAACTATATTCTGATTTTTTGTATGAGTCCTTAAATTTGTAAAGCGATACATTGGGATTTCACTTTTTGAAAATTTCTGGATTGTTTCCATTTCTGATTCTTCATCTGACTCATCAGAATCAAAAGAATCAGCATAAGCAGATTCATCATCAGCAACATCTTCCAAGTTTAATTCTACTACTTTTGCATCATCTTCTTTATTTTCTTCATAAGCAATTTCATTTTGCACTGATAATTTTTTGAAATTTGGTTCATATTTTTTGAGATTATCCATTATATATTTTATTCAATGTAAGTTGTTTTTTTAAGAAATTGTTTAAAGCAATAAAAATAACTAAAGCAGTTTATTATATTATTGTTAATTATTAATATTAGTATTATTCATATAAAAAGTACAAATGACATAGTAGCATTCTTACAGACTAAGCTTTATGAATATTGGGTTATGTATCCATGGTAACCAGACAAACAAAAACAGAAGTGTAATGAATGAATTTTATAATTTACAAATCAATTTTCATTATTTTAAACGAAATCAAGAGTTAAATAAATTAATTCATTTTGTTTTCATAAAAAACTTTTTATTTTAAAATAGAGTAAAAATATATATTAATTCTCATTTGGAAAGCCAAAAACTTTCAAACTACCTGCATCTCTTTTTCGATCATAACTGTCTTTGTCATCACATGCATAAGCAAGTAAATATTGTTTAGGATGCCAAGCAACAGTAAATGTTGCTGCTTCAACTGGTATGTCAGTCACTTTTTCCCCTGTTTCAACCTCACCAATGTCTATAACTAAATCTTCTGATGCAGCTGCTAACAGCTTTCCATCGTGGGAGAAAGATATAGTTCTGACAGGCCAATCCAAACGAGAAAATGTTCTTAAACAACACAGTTCATCAGCGTCCCATAAAGAAACAAGAGCATCTGCTGATCCAGTTGCAAAATATCGTCCTGTAGGATCAAACTCAATGCAGATACATGTTCCTGGATGTGCTTTTATTACTTGCAAAAGTTCTAAACTTGGATAACTTAAAATATGAACACAGCCTTGTCCATTAGTTAGGTAAAATGTATCTGAATCTTTGTTCCACGATATTTCATTCACTTCAAAATTGAATTGTTCTTCTACTTTTATTTTCATAGCTCTGGCATCAATGAATGTTACCAAATCTTCTTTATTACCAACTGCAATTGTATTGCCATCTGGTGACCAACAAATATTGATATTTTCACCTTTTGTACTTATATTAGCAGTACATTTTTGAGTGCGAGTATCCCATATCCTAACTGTCTTGTCTCCACTAGCAGTTGACAAAAGTTCTGGATTAGAAGCATGCCAGCACAACTGATCAACACTGCCGCCATGACCTCGAAATGTTGTTTCTAATTTCTAAAATAATAAAATAACAATCTACATCAGCTAAATTAATAATAAACCTCTTAAGGAAACAAAGTAAAAGTAACAATACAAGAGTAATAATACAAATAATAATACATTTTAAAAAAATATAATCAACCTATTATTATAAAGTTATTTTAAAATTCCGGTATTCACATTGAGAGGTTAGAACTTACTAAACGGTCTGGTGTAAGTGAAAATATGCAGACACATTTATCAAAAGATCCCGAGGCTAAAAGTTTCCCATCGCAATTCCAACCGACGCTATGCACTTTTGCTGTATGACTTTGCTGTTCTCGTACTTTGTTATGAGTTTTGAAATAAGTAATCAATTCATCCACGCTACTTTGAGGGGCCATTTTTATTTATCTCATAGTTTACTGTTTATCCGCATTGGGATTGGTAATTGGTTGTTAGGTGGTTGATGGACAGTCAGTGTTACCACGTTCCATAAGCTAAACAGCTGTTTGAATAATTGAATTGCGTTTTTAGATGAGTTAATTATTAAAAATAGTTTACATAGCAATACTTAACTATGACTTAATAATAAATATAAAAAATTAAAGTGTTTATTGCAATAACTAGTTCATTTTTTATTAATTAGAAAGATTCAATAAATTAAGAGCTATTTGAGTAATTGAATTACGTTTTCAGATGAATCTGTTATTAAAAATAGTTTACATAGCAATACTTAATTATAACTTGGTAATAAAAATAAATAACTAGTGTTTATTGCAATAACTAGTTTATTTGTTATTAATTAAAAAGATTCAAGATTTAAACTCTAAAACAGTTGGAAACACTGCTATCAATTTAATCTTTAAGATCTGCGACCCCCCTTTTATACTATACGGTCTGCTGCAGTGTAAACATTTATTAGGTATATACATATATAGTTCAATACGATAAGGTGGCACAAGCTATAAATGATAAACTTAATTGTCAATTTTCAATTACTTGGTCATGGGTATCTCAATCTAGATATTACACTAGTTATATAATTCCTCTTAATATTTGATTAACATTTTGACCATAATAATTACTAATTAAAAATTATATCATGTCAATGATCTCGTATACAATTTTTCGTGGTAAGTTGATGTAAAAATAAATCTAAGTTTACAGAAAATATGATCTACCTGTACATTATTAAATTTTTTATTTCTTCCGCATTAGTGGTAGGCAAAGTATACATAGAATTGTATACAAAATTATAAGTCCTTTTCTAAAATATGCTCGGCATACCAGAATGGTTCGACCATGGGTAGGATGGCTGTGTATCCTGTTTTTCATTTCAATGGTGTTTTATTTATACTTGTCAATAAACGGTAATGTATAGATTTTATAATGATTTTATAAAAATTAACTCTCCATAATCTTAAATACTTTTATCTTTGTAGCCCCAATTATAAAAAATCCTTATTTTGCACCAAAGCACATAGATTTGCCAAACACCAAAGAATTCCAAACAATTATTCACCCTATTATAGAGAAAACGTCTATACCTAATTTATTTCATGTAAATATTTATTATCAAATGTTAAATAGTAAATAATAGTCAAACAGATGTAGTTATATTAATTGACTTTTTGGTAGGATAAAGACTGTACAACAATTCATATTGCTTTCGTATGTGCTGGATTCAATTCAACAGTTTCTTTAGCAACGACAGTAAAATCTATTTTATTTTATCGCACAAGGCCTTTACATTTTCACTTATTAGTCGATGAAATTTCCTTAAAAATTGTCAGTGTTCTATTTACATCCTGGAAACTATCTCATGGTAAATCTAAAAATTATAATGTATACAAAATATATAAAAATTATTATTAGTTATCTAAATTATATATATTTTGCAGTTGCAGTATCATTTTATAAAACTGAAGAGTGGGTACCAAAAGTTTCATGGATACCTAACAAACATTACTCGGGAGTGTATGGACTTTTGAAGTTAGTCCTTCCTGATGCTATTCTTGAAAAAAATTTAATAGTTTTAGATACAGACATAACAATTTTGAATGATATTTCTTTACTTTGGGAATTGTTTAAAAATTTTAACAAAGAACAAGTATTGGGATTAGTTGAAAATCAAAGTGACTGGTATATAAAATCTACATTATACAATGTACACCCTTGGCCAGCTTTAGGTCGAGGGTATAACACTGGAATTATGCTGATGGACTTACATAAATTACGTGCCAAAAATTTTTCCAAATTATGGGAAAATACTACATTACATGTATTGAAAGATATTTTCGAAATAAGTTTAGCAGATCAAGACATTATAAATGCGGTTATTAAAAACAACACAAAATTTTTGTATACTATCGATTGTACATGGAATGTTCAATTAAGTGATCATGCTCTTAGTGAATCATGTTATAGTAATACAAATAAAATAAATGTAAGTCATAATTTGATCATACTATTGAGTTAATACAATTATTCAATCTATATTACTAATTTCATAGGTAATTCATTGGAATTCACCTCGAAAATTCAATGTAAAAAATAAGTATGCTCAAGACTTCAAAAAAATGCATCAAGTATTTCTTGAACTCGACGGGAATTTACTGAGACGTCGGTTGTTTGGCTGCAATAAGAATGAAGAATCAAGTCAGGTAAGCAGATTTGTTTTCATTTTTATTATTTTATATATGAAAAATAAGAAAGTTCAATAGCTTATGATCGTAGAACAATGAGATGGACTTATGTATTAAATTTAAAGAAGGTGCCAAAATTGTATATAGAACGCATCCATTTTTTTTGGAATTTGAAAACAATGTAGTAAATAGTGCTGATGTCCTTCTTGCTACTCAGTGCAGCATTGATAGGATTGTACTTCTCGAAGATATGTCAAAATATTGGCGAGGTGTAATTAGTGTTGCTCTTTATTTGACTGACAACGAAGTACAAACTTTTCTAGATTTCGTTCATAACTCTGTTGAATTAAGAAACCGGAAAAATATTGCATATCACATTGTTTACAAAGAAGGAGTAAGTATTCGTTTTCTTTTGTTTTTTCAACAATCTAATTTATTTCAATTTTTATTTCTGTATTTCAAGCTTATTCATCAAAATATATTCATTTAACAGGAATTTTATCCAGTGAATTATTTACGAAATGTTGCTATGAAATATGTAACTCTACCATATATATTTCAACTAGATATTGACTTTTTACCTCAATATGGTTTACATAAAAATTTAATTAACTATGTTATTGCAAACAATATAACAGAAAATCATCGTATTGCACTAGTTATTCCTGCCTTTGAAACGCAAAGATACAGGTAAAAATTAAAGCTTATTCGTGATTGCAATAAAAATTGTATCATTGCAAGACGTTACATATAAAAAAAAATTAGCTTTTACCATTCTGTATTAAATTTAATTTCACTTTTTGTTAGAAAAACAAAAAATACGGTTTTTTCCGAATAGAGTAATAACAAATCATATTTTTAGCTTGCATTAATGAAAAACATTGTTAATAATATCTAACTTTTTTTTCATATTTAATATATATAAATTAATAATTTCCGAAGTTTTGATAACGTAATTATATTGAATTACAGGTTCAATTTTCCATCAACAAAAGCCGAACTTTTGAAATATTTGGATTATAAAATTTTATACACATTTCGTTATCATGTTTGGTCTCAAGGACATGCCCCTACTAATTTTTCATTTTATAGAAATGCAATTGAACCTTACGAAGTATCTTGGGAACCAGATTTTGAACCTTATATCGTTGTTCCCAAATCTGCACCAAGTTATGACGAACGATTTATTGGCTTTGGTTGGAATAAGGTGTCTTATATCACACATTTGACAGCTTTAGGCTATAAGTAAGTCAAGTTGCTTATAAAAGTTGAAGCTTTCAAATCGACAATCGATAACTAATATAGTTAAAACAAAAGATGCACTGTGCATTAATGATATCAGTAAAAAATTAAGTTATATTTTTGAAAAAATACAAATGAAAATAAATGCGAATGATTTAAAATAAAACTGGAAACTTTAAGAACTTTAATATTGAGGAGGTTGAAAAGTAAATCTATAATTTGTCTATATAACATTTAAAATGATATTTACGTACATTTATAGTCTATGAATTAAAAGTTTTAATCCTGTTTTATTTTAAGTTTATTAACTTACTTTTATATTCTTCAATGATGATTACAACTTACCGTTCAATTACTTGTAGGTATATTGTTTTGTCGGACGCATTCATAATTCATCGTCCTCATGCACCAAGTCGTGATATTGGAAAATTTAGAACTGATGCTTCTTATAGACGGTAAGACAACCATCGTAATTTATATTATTTGTATATCGAGTTCAATATTACATTTGTTTTTTGTTTGTTTTTAGGTGCTTAAAAGCATTAAAAGATTCATTTGTACAAGACCTCATAGATAATTTGGGAGATAAGGCTGTAATGAATCTCAATAAAATATTTGCTAAACAAGACAAGAAATCTAATAATGTCACTAGCCAAAAAGTAATATACCAATCAAGTTAAAGATGTGCCTTGAACACAATGTTCTGAAAAAGTATGTTATGTTATAAATTGTTATTGGTTGTTCAAATTTCTAATAATTTTGCAACAGCCAATTGTGGTTCTAAACGTAATTATAATCACAAAAAAAAATTTTAATGTATTACATATCACTGTATACTAGCAATTTATAAATATTCATATTATGGTTTGCTTTTATAATAATGAAAATTTTTATTTTATTTTTTATTGATCAACTGTACCACAACTAGGCTTTTTATCTATAGTCACATCTATTTATATTCAAATTCTCATTAAAATTTTATATTGTTAAAATACATGTTTACATCAACATAAAATACTTCGAATCAAATTTTTAAACATATTTTGTAATCTGTTTATTTTTATATAAATGACCCTTGCTTTGAAGTTTCAAATATAGTTGCCTAGAAAGATAATTTCACAATGATCGTATTTATTATATTATAAGTCTCATGTGAAAGAGTAATCGCACGTCTTGTATTGTAAAATTATATAATTTCATAAATAATGCTTACAGTTTTTTATATAATTTGTTTTTTTAAAACTATTCTTATAAAGAACGAAAATTACCGTTATATCACTAAAACAATAAGCCTATAAACTCTTTACAACGTTTTTATAATTTCTTTAAGAGTATTATTTGCTTCATTAATTTAAACTTTTTGTTAAACACAGATGTGCTTTTGGCAGAGCTAAAATGCCAAATGCAAATGGTAAATTCATACACTTTCAGGAATATGTTTTTCTTTCGAATGATTATTTGTCACTATACTATCGTATGTTTTATGGAAGTGCAAGACAATAAAAAATTGTAAAAGTATCTTTACTATGCACAAATAATGTTTGAAGTACAAAAATTAATCCATGTATTATAATCGTTACTAATTGTAAAAAATATAATAAAATGAATATCATTTACTGCAAAGAACACGAATATTGTTTATTAAAATAAAAAATACTTTATTCAAAATATCTCTAAATAAACCCTCCAAAAATTATTATTATTTTAATTGAACCTTTTTAGTTATCCCAAAAAAAAATTAAAAACTATATATATTTTTTTGGTTTTTTTGCAACTGCGATATTTTTAGCAATACTTAATATTTTTTTAAAGAAACAAAACAAAAAAATCAATACCTTGCTCATTTTAATTGAACCCCTCTTACTTTTTTAAAATTATTAATATATAGGTCAAAAATAAACAATCTAATTTTATTGTATGTTCTTACTAAAATGCATGCGCGTTAACTGATCTTTTTAGTAATAACATACAATAAAATTAGATTGCTATTTTTGACATATATATTAATAATTTTAAAAAAGTAAGAGAGGTTTAATTAAAATGAGCAAGGTATCAATTTTTTTGTTTTGTTTCTTTGCAAAAATATTAAGTATTGCTAAAGATATCGCTGTTGCAAAAAACCAAAAAATGTACATAGTTTTTAATTTTTTTTTTTGGAACAACTCAAAGGGTTCGATTAAAATAATGATCATTTCTTGAGGGTTGGGTTGGGTTCAATTAGAGATATTTCGAATGGTATATTTTTTAACTATCCACTAGATTTTATGGGCTAGGTAAGGGGGTCCTGAACTTCTTCGTTTATATGCTTCGATTTCACCTTAAAGTACTTTCGTTAGCGTACCTATCATACAATACTAGCAAATTGGTATATTATATTCATTAATTGACACATAATTATTTTTTATTTTATCTTTTCATTACAGTCATCCGAACATTATTTTTTACGTTTGCGAATGACTTTGACTAATGTTTGTTAATATTACTAATTAATGCGCACTTTCAATTAAAAATATAAAGGAATTTGGAACATAAATTGAATTTAAATTTAATTAAACTCATGCGACCAATTGCAAGTTTACAGTTTTATTAATGTCGGATAAGTTGTAAGAACCCAGAAACGAGTATATATTAAATTTATAATTTAAAGGCATTTATTTATTTTATTAATTAAATGAAATATATATACCTAGACGGCATGAATAATCCGAGTCGTAAGCGGAATAATGCCATTTAGATACAATTATGCAAAGAAATAAAAGCATTATAATAATAGATGATTGAGTGCAAAAAATACGGGCTTTATTACACCTGTAGTTTGTATCTAAACACGAAGAGGTCAGTTTTACTTTGCTTCAATAGGCTAAATAGGTCATTCAAAACAAATTTTATTTTATGTACTTAATTCACAGGATACTGCGGGCACATACTGTGCGGAAGAATAAGTCGTCTACTAAGAAAACGCAATGCTAATATCTTGGTCACGGGTACAGCTTGCACCATTCTGCCTTTGATAACTAGGTGGCCCAGTCCCGGATTAACAATTTTTACATGAATCACATGTGAAAATGATGATTTCACATTGAAATGATGATAACGACAACATTTGACTTATAACATGATTTAACAAATAATACATCGCATGATCTATCACATGATTCGATTTTAACATGATTATTTCGACAGATTGATCTTATGATAAATTATGTTAAAGTTGAACCATGTGATAGATCACGTGATGTATTCTGTGTTAAATCATGTTATAAGTCATATGTTGCCATTTTTGCAATTAATTTATTCCCTGAAGTTATTCATAATTAAAAAACCAAGGTCTATACATACACATATAACATATATATACATAATGCATTGTATATACATGACATGGTTAAGATAAAAATACATTTGATTAATTTTTCATAATATCGCATGATCTATCAAATGATTAATCATATGATTTATCACATGATATCCCTTCGAAATTGTCAGATAGATTTTAAACTCGATCATGATTTATCATAAGATCATTCGGTCGAAAAAATCGTGTAATACATGAAGATAATAATCATGTGTAAAATTTTAGTTGGGTCTGCCGCCGATAGAGCAGTAAAATTTAAACATAGTAGCTGCGGCATATTCAGCTAATTGGTATTACAACTGATAGCCCTGTAGGCATTCAAATTGATATAATATCGATTAATTGAATAAAAAAGTAAGTAATACAATTCATAGACTAACTAATAAAAGAAAAAGAATAAATTCGACATTCACTTAAAATCTAAACCTTAAAATAATACAACTAAGTGATACTAATGCTTTACTTCATCAATGAAATTTATTCCTTGAATATATAAATTTATCGACTGTCTGTTGTATAGTTCAGCTTCGAATATAAGCGTCATCAACGTGAACAGAGTTATAAATTGATAGATTATTTGATATTAAATATTGTGAAGTGCATGATTAGGGCTCATCTAGTTACGAAAAATGTTCATACAAATGATCACTTGATTTTTTATATAATTTATCACATGATTTTTCCAACCGAATGCTTATACGATATGATCAAATGAACAATCATGGAATAAGTTGCATGAGCAGCAAGTGGTTTGAATCCCATTGAAAGTTGATGATATAATGGTATATATGTGAACAGTAGAATGCAATGTAACAATGCAACTGTTTTTAACAAGATTTTGTCAAGTTTTACAATCAAGTAAATAAAAAAAAGTAAATATTATATTAAATTGGCCCATAACTGTTTTCATATATACTTCTGATATTTTTTATTTTTTTTATTTTTTCACTTCATCGTAAAAACTGACAGCTTGTAAAACATAATAAAAGCTCTTTATTATAAATAGAGTTTAATCTGGTTATTATATATATTTAATACATACATAATATATTATTATAAATTATATTTAGTTAAAGTAATACATACTAAATTTTTAATTAACCGATTGTTAAAAACAATGTAATAAGCCATAATAAAGTGGTAGTCATTATCCTTTCTCCTGAAAATGAGGAGATACATTTTTTTGGGAAAACTTTTTTTTTACGTAAATTCTTCCGTAAGAATTTACCTAAGGGTCTACAGGTGTTTTTCAAAATAAGAGGTCAATCAATAGGGCAAGTTCGATTAGTATTCATGTTTCAAGTTATATAACTTTAACCTAGCATATCGTGGCCTAATATAAGTACACTTAATTAAAAGCAGCAATTTATTTATATAATAGATTATTGTCATTACTTTGTTGTAAACTTTTTATCAAATAACTTTTTATTAAATTTTAATCTACTTAGCTATTTAAAAATATTGTAATTATTGAGTCACTGTGACTTAGTGGATGGAGTGCAGGACTCTGGTGCGGGAGACCTGGGTTCAATTTCTGGCGGCTGTTAATGGCATTTTTTCAAAAAACAAAGTAGTGCCAAAATTAATACCGCGATTTTATAATATATAAAATTGGATTAAAAACTTTTGTTCCAAAAAATTCAGACTTATGTTGACGTTAGAGCAAATAATATATTTCAATAAAAAAAATAGTGGTTTGTATATCGATGCAACCTTAGATCATCAAATTAATAAAAACGAAAATTATGTTTTAAAATCATTGTCAATAAGTTCTTCCGGAATTTCTTACGAAAGTTCTTTCGGAAGAACTTACTTACGATTCCTAAGTCGTAGCATCCACCTTTATCTTCTCTTCAATGTGGAATTACGTTAGCAATCTTTCTCCGTTGGAGAGCTCTGTCTTTTTTGTGCTTGTCGTAAATCTATCTATTTATCCATCTGCGGTTCTTTCACATTTACACTCACATGAATTCAATTTTCCAGACATTCTTCGTCTTTTTTTCTCTCAGGATAGCCTCGACAAAGGTAGCGACTAAAATCCAGTTCTTTTTGTTTTGCAATATCATCTCAACAGTAGAGTCAGGCTCGCCGGCGTCCAGTCGTCGCGTCTAGCTGTCGCCTATTAGTCCAAGGTGCATATACACAAAATGTATGCTACGCATCGTTATCGTGTTCGTAAAGTCTGCAATCTGGCGTCAACACTTTTTGAAAGGTAACTTTTAAAATATCTGTCGCCTGTACAAAATTAGGTGAGGCAAAAATTTATCCTTTTCCCAGCTAGAACCTCAGTTTATCTATTAAACATTTCGTTCATTTCCCCGCGTGGTTCTCAGTTCTACGTTCATACTATTCTGTTTTTTTCATAGCCCTCTTATACTCCTTGCCAAGCAAGTCTATAGAGATCAAACTCAGCATCTAGTTCGACGACGACTCTTGTTCCGAATTTTGTTTGAACTTTTTTCATGCCAGTAACTGTGTAAAGGATTGAAGAATTCAATTCTTTTAATTTTTTCATTGGCAAGTAGAATGGGGTACGAGCTAGAGCGTTAATAGCTTCCATAATGAAGATTGATACCTACGACACGTAAAATTTCAAATATAATAAATGAAAAAATTCTATGAGTAACAGTTGACATACAATTTTTGATTAAAAAGAGTTTTGAAGCTATATGAAGTATCTACTGTGAGCGCAGACGAGCGAATGAATCCGTACCTTGATGCTATTGTATATATAGGGTTAAACCGATCATTTTAATTGAAGGCGTTGTACCAATCTCCCACCTCTACTTCATCTTCCTCATCCTCTAAATCTAACATTTTTAGTTTGCTGATCACATCATAATCATAATCATCATCATCATCATTATTCGACTCTGACGTTGAAGAAACGCTGTCAGGGAGGTCGCAAGTCTGACTTAATTGTCGACTATAACGATTTTTCAACCAATTTTTAAGAGCCACGACATTTTGAAGCGCGCAGTTTTCTGTCCAGCCTGGAGGATGATAATGGCAAACTATAGGTTCGTAAAATCCTGGCTGATGTAAGGAAGGGCAACCCGAATCTTCGAGATCGAAGACATGATCAATAAATCTAGTGAGCCACTCCACTTTTTGACGTCCCTTTACATAAATAAGAACTTTGTCAGTGTCAGCTGCTAAGCGACATAGGTCTTGTATAATAAGCGGATGGCAATCGTATGGTAAGTTTCCTGTATTCCAATCAAGCCCATGGTAGTTATTTGTAAGCCATGAATTT